CTTCACGGCATGGTGTGTTACCAATTGTTTTCTTGGTGACTATGGTCCCAGCTGCCTTGAGATCATTGACAAGATCCTCCCGTGTAGTTCTGGGCTGATTCCTCACCGTTCTCATGATCATTGCAACTCCACAAGGTGAGATCTTGCATGGAGCCCCAGGCCGAGGGAGATTGACAGTTATTTTGTGTTTCTTCCATTTGCGAATAATCGCACCAACTGTTGTCACCTTCTCACCAAGCTGCTTGCCGATGGTCTTGTAGCCCATTCCAGCCTTGTGTAGGTCTACAATCTTGTCCCTGACATCCTTGGAGAGCTCTTTGGTCTTGGCCATGGTGGAGAGTTTGGAATCTGATTGATTGATTGCTTCTGTGGACAGGTGTCTTTTATACAGGTAACAAGCTGAGATTAGGAGCACTCCCTTTAAGAGTGTGCTCCTAATCTCAGCTCGTTACCTGTATAAAAAGACACCTGGGAGCCAGAAATCTTTCTGATTGAGAGGGGGTCAAATACGTATTTCCCTCATTAAAATGCAAATCAATTTATAACATTTTTGACATGCGTTTTTCTGGATTTTTTTGTTTTTATTCTGTCTCTCACTGTTCAAATAAACCTACCATTAAAATTGTAGACCGATAATTTCTTTGTTAGTAGGCAAACGTACAAAATCAGCAGGGGATCAAATACTTTTTTCCCCTCACTGTATGCTGCTGCATAAATGTTGTAAGATGCCAGGGAGATATGTATATGCTAAGAAAGTGATACTTAGTGTATGTTGTGTAGTAAACTGTTAGTAGCCCATGTGCCTCACCCTAATAATTTGGTCCCTTTCCCCTAATAACTTAGCCTACTGTTCTGACTTGGTGGTGCACCTGTAGCATATAGCCTGTTTTAAAGAAATGTCATCATCGAATATTAGTGCAATTAATGTATTGTTTAGTGTTGTGTAGTGTAGTGGCTTTGCTGGCATGCATAAAAAAATTATAATGAGTTTGACCCCACCAAGATTGACATACTAAAATCGCCACTGATAATAATCAATGTATAAATTAACATGCACAATGTAATCATGTAAGTCAAAAAAAAGTCTGTCACCGTGCCAACAGACAAAGAGCTGTGAGTGACTCAGTGGTTCACCAATCAGGGTCTTGATGGGCTTGGCAACAGTAAGAAGGCGTGATGTGGGGGATACACAGAAATGTTCCTGCAACGTTCCCATGAAACGTGTCTAGTATGTTAATATTTTAAATTCGGACAACATGGCAACCGTATGTTTGGCATGAAGTTGATGGAATATTCTCCTAACCGTCAGAAAGCTGGACACTTGAATGTTCTTGCCACGTTCCCATGAAATGTGTCTAGAACATTAATATCTTATATTCTTAGAACACAGCAACCATGTTCTGTGTATGTTTGGTGGGACGTTGATGGAATATTCTCCTAACCCTCAGAAAACTGGACACAGGAATATTCTTGCAACGTTCCCATAGAACGTCTGTAGAACATTCATATTGAATATTCGGACAACATGGGTAAGTTCTGTTTGACATTAAAGGAATGGTCTCTTACTTAGAAACAGTCCTTGCGGGTCACTGGAACATTTCTATAAAAACGTTAGGTAATAACCTAATGAGACTCTTAAGGAAACGTTCTCTAAAGTCGTAGGAACGTTTGTTGTTAGTGGGGTTACTACTGTAGGTCTATCCCTAGGACTACTCACCACCACATTGATGCCATGGCCTGGACCAGCTGGGATGCAGCTGGCCTGAAAGGAAAACAGCAGGGTGACTTTGCAGCAGCCAAAAATATGTGTGTGAGTAAACATAAAATGTCAACTGCCTGCACGATGTTCAATTGTATCGACACATCAAACAAATCTCTCAGTCTCTTGTGTACAGCTATAAATCAAAATGTAATCCAAACAACAGGCCCACTTTCCATCTCCCACTCAGGTGATACAGTATGTGGGGCTGGTTTTGGTGATATGCATTCCTGTTATCATCCAGCAGCATGCACTGTAGTGATGACAAGTCACAAGACAAAAATATTTTTCTTGACAGGTTCCCATGGTGAGCTTATACAGGGTAAAATCATTAAGATAAATAAATATAAATGTTGTTTACTTGCTACAGTATAACCTTCCATGTAAAATGCAATGCTAGGTCCGACTGATGATAAATATTGATGCATGCAAAACAGCTGTCTTCCTACGGTATCAACAATGGACATGTTTAGAATTGACCATAGCATCTTCTAATACATCATGTCAGATATTATAAAATAGATTGCTAACATTTTTACACCATCACTTGTGAAAATGTATGTTGTCATAAAATGTTACAATATTTTATTGAATATTGAATATTTTTTTCTCCCAGATTGACAGCTTTTGTGAGCCAATGCACTTTTGACAAATTTGTTCAATTTACCAGGGTGTGTCCAGACATTCCGGTAATTTTGGCTACAGACTGTAGTACAGTTGTCAAGTGGCAAAAAGGTTGGTACACATTTTGAGATGCAAGTCCTCCAAACGCCTGTAAACACAGCAAAAGTTGATGAAAATAAGGTTTGGCATTCTGAATTGTAAAGAATCATATTTCACTCCATATTTCACACGCAACGAAATAGCAAAGCTTGCTGAAATATGATTATCTCTCAGCTCCTGTTTTCCACCGGTGCATGTTCTTGCAAGAAAAAGCAGTCACGCTTGCTGCTAGCTAATGATGCACCTGTTAGCATTCATTAGCTTTTGTTAAACATTATAAATTGCTATTGCAATATTGAGTTAACCTTTGATGTTGGTATAAAATGTCTGAGTAGTTTACGTTACTAGTCTAATGAATGTTAGGGAGAAAAAACACATGCAACTAGTTAGCCGGCTAGCTATCCCCGACTGGCCGCAACCGGTTGCTTTCTCGAGCGTCAATATTGCAACTTCTACCCTGACATGAATTGGCTTGGCGGCTGAGCCTTGCTGAGTGAACTCAAGTGGTGCGCCCTCTGCGTTGAGCACACTCAGCAAGTCGCCTGCTGTCTTTTGCCCCGTCATAATACATTTTCCATACCTGCTTTGATACTAGTAAAGTAGGTCTTTCATTATGAGAAAATACAAATTACATGCATATTAACATCTAGAGCATTCACATGGTTTAGCGAGTTTCCATATTTCCCTTTGCCTTTTCATTTGCAGCTGACAGTCATTGTATGTGAGAGAAGCTAGTCGGAATGGATCCAAACAAGACTCGGTTCTCAGGCCTCCCACATGCCTTGGCTGCAGCAGCAGGAGAAAGGACTTCTGTCAGATGAGCCAGCAACAGGAAGAGCCAGAGGTCTGCTATATTTATATTTATTTTTTCAGTCATTTAGCAGACGCTCTTATCCAAAGCGACTTACAGTTAGTGCATACATTTTCTGTTTGCAGCAGATGGGTCTGCGGGCTTAGGATGAGCCAGGGGTTTCACCAACCCTGGTGATACAATGCTAATGCAGTAAAAGAGAGGAGTGCCCTTCCCAGCGAGCGAGCCCTCCATTGGCTTCGCCAGGGGGATACTCATGCCCACATCAGAAGATGGTGGGCTTGGCCGCACAAGAGGGCTGCTTCTCTCGACAGCTGAGCCGACGTTAGGGGTGGCAAGAGGGGTGCCCCTCCAGGTCAACCTGTCACACAAGACTGGCCTGAAGAGATACCAAGTCTGCAGGCAGAAGAGGAAGTAGTAATCAAGCAAGTTTGTGTTGTGTTACTTCAGATTTGTAAAGTCTTTCTTCTAACTTCAACTCAGACTAGGGTTCAATGTGGTTTGCGCTTATGGGACTATTGAATTAGTTCCATTGCACTCAATACAAGCTCAATCAAGGGCAGATGACATACTTACATCTAGCAGACGCTCTTATCCAGAGCGACTTACAGGAGCAATTACGACAGCTTTTTCACCAAGTCCGCTCGGAGATTCGAACCAGCAACCTTTTGGTTACTGGCCCAACACTCTAGGATACCTGCCGCCCGCTCGAAATTGTTCAAATACCACCCAAGGCCAGGGGTTGTCTCTGGTGTCCATGTTCAGAGGCAGGGGAATGGAACCCTCAAAGACCTCCTGGCGCAGGGGTGCTCTGCCAGTGTGTGAGTAATAATGAGTTTATGAAAGACTAGGTTTATATTCCAAATGGCACCCCATTCCCAATGTAGTGCACTACTTCTGACCAGAGCCCAAAAGTAGTGCACTACATAGGGAATAGGGTGCCATTTGGGAGACAGCCTAGAGATGAAGGCATACTGGATCAAACTAACTGGGAAGATCACGTTTTCCACTCCATCTCTGAGTTTGAGTTCAAATTAGTGCTGAGTGATTAATCAAAATGTTGGTTAATTTTCTGATCTACATCAGTTCAATTATTTGAATTCCATTTCGTTCCGTTTTTTTCTGCGAGCTCAATGCGCACATTGCACAATTTCTCTAGAGAAATCAGATCCAGCCTGAACTGTGCGATGTAGTAGGGAGTTGTCATCAAATAAAACCAATGTAATATACACAACTGAAATATTTTAGTAAAGGAATGTGAATAAATGATGGTTAGTAAGTGATAAGCAGTAATGGGCAGTCACCACCATCATGGGAGTTTTATTAATTGTTTTATTCTGTGTTAGAGCATTCAACCAAAATAATCAAAACCGAAATTGAAAACGTTGATTATTTTTTAATAATCAATACCAAACCGAACTCCAAAAAGGCACTAATCGCTGAGCACTAGTTAAAATGACTAGGGTTAAGAATAATGGTTGGCCTTTACTTTGGAAAAAAGTCAGATATTAGAAATCTGTTAAATATTGATGCACTAAAGTTAAGCCATCTTTTGTATGCAATAAATAGATTTGCCTTATCCCACTTAGCATCTAAGTACTGAGCACTCCCCTAAAAATTTTACAGAGTCAAATAGTAATTTGAGCTTTAAAAGATTTAGGGAACTGGTACGCTTGCTTGATTTCCTTATGCACCAAATGAGGCCCCATGAAGGAGAAGAGGGATGAATCCACTGAATCCCCTGGTGTTTTTCTCTGGTGTTCTTTTTGGTGCAGAAAGGGGTGCTGTTGGAGATTTTGGAGCAGAGCTCAAACCACAGACAGGCCCTACTGGCGCAGTGGCAGTCGCCGGCCTGGGGGGAGATGGGTTCCCTGAGGACATGATGGGCAGAGGCAGCAGGTAGGAAGGAGAATGAGGTGATAAGCTCAAAACCTGCTGCTTAGCCTGGGGCAAAAGCAGGCCAGTTCCACCATGCTACTAAAGTCCTTTGCTTCTAGAATGCATAATTTATGCTGTGCATATACAGGAAATCCGCTCACATATCCTTATCCTTTTCATTATATGCCCATCTCATTATTTATTAATTATCCATTGTGTGTACAGGTGTGCCAAGCTTGTAATGTCATACCCAAGAAGACATGAAGCTGTAATCGCTGCCAAAGGTGCTTGAACAAAGTACTGAGTAAAGGGTCTGAATACTTATGTAAATGTGATATTTCATTTCTTAGTTTTTTATACATTTCTAGAAATTTCTAAAAACCTGTTTTTGCTTTGTCATTATTTGGGTATTATGTGTAGATTGAAAAAACAATTTAATCAATTTTAGAATAATGCTGTAACATAACAAAATGTGGAAAAGTCATGGTCTGAATACTTTCCGAATGCACATGCAAATAATGTAGCAGATATAGGATATGGTAGAAAGAGTATGTGGCCTTTTCTGTAGCCTACAGGCTGGAGATAAAATGTATGACAATGTAATGTGACAGACACTTTTTACATCATGCAGGATTCTCCGATCAATTAACCTAACCTAAATGGCGCCGAATCAAATAAAAAATGCACTGTCATGTTAACAAACACCTAGGGCTGACCCCATTTTTTCGACTGGTCGATTGTTTAGTCGATAGGCTATTGGTCGACTGAGATTTCTTTAGTCGAGCAGTACAAAAAATATGGTGTACAAGACACCTGTCTGATTCGCGCCTGTCTGAGTGGACTGGTCCATTGTGGAGGCCTGTCTGAGTGGACTGGTCCATTGTGGAGGTCTGAGTGGACTGGTCCATTGTGGAGGCCGTGGGGATGGCACAGTCCGTCAGTCTAAAACGTGCTACTGAAATTGTATATGGTTATATTACATAAGAACAATGGTGCAACACTAATAAAAAGAATATTATTTTATTAAAAATGCACTTTCTCCCTTGTTGGATAGCGGAACCGCTGTACACGGTTCTGAAACACATCAGTGCGCTGTTGAATTGCTGCCTTTTCCTAGACCATGTTGCTATGTGCATAATAGCGTAATGGTGTTGAGAACAGCAGCAGAATGAGGAGATGAGAAAACAGCCCCTGCCTTATTGTCTAAGAAAATTAAGGAGAGAGGAAACACAAACTTAATCAATAGCCTAACGGTTAAATGTGCCTGGCTTTATACATCATCAATATATCTACAGAAATAAGACAGATCCTGCTTCTGTTGCCTGTTTGAGTGTTTGTTTAATAGCCAACTGTTTCCAAGAGCACCAAGCCTCACACAATGACATGAAGTAAACAAATATGGCACTTTTAATATCTTTGCTTTGCTGTGATAAAGGCTTTACACCTTTGTTCGTTAACAGCCTCTCTGGTATTATTTATAATTTATTTTGTGTTTACACTGTTCCAAATTGTCTTAAATTTTTTATTTATAATAATAATAATAATAACGCTCCTTCTTATTGTGGTTGTTGTTGTTGTTATTATTATTATAAGTAATGTAATTATCAGTAGTAGGCTTAGTATAGCAGCCTTGTATAACCACCATCGAGCTGTAGGCCTAAGAGCACATCCTTTTTAGTCTTAATACCGTAACATTCTTAGGCTTAATTTTCAATAGGCTACTGTATCAATCATTCATTCGTTCATGTCATCACACAGCATATGAGTCATTCATGATTTGAAATGCAATCAAGCATTTTAGTTTTAAATAAAATAAAGGGAGCCTTGAATAATTAGCTTAAACAACAAATAAACCATTCCATTTCGGAAATTACATTCACGAATGAATGCGACTGTTGAAATAAAGGCCTAACAAAAAAACGTTACAACAGACAGGTGTGCCAACAGAAAGGGCCATTCTCTGGTAGGCGTATACTTTATTTAGTGTTGTTTACATTGTTCCAAACGGTCAGAAAAATTATATTGTAATCTATACAGCACCTGTTTGGCACTCATAATATGCACGCAGGGCTTGCTCTTTACCTTCTTTTTCTTGATCTCCAGTGTGTTCAACAACTAGTCACATTTACAGTATGTTCTTGTGGACCTTCAATGTGGCATAACTTTTTTGGTACCCTTCCTCAGATCTGTGCCTCGACACAATCCTGTCTCTGAGTTTTACGGACAATTCCTTCGACCTCATTGCTTGTGGTTTGCTCTGACATGCACTGTCAACTGTGGGACCTAATATAGACAGGTGTGTGCCTTCCCAAATCATGTCCAATCAATTGAATTTACCACAGGTGGACTCCAATGAAGTTGTAGAAACATCTCAAGGATGATCAATGGAAACAGGATGCACCTGAGCTCAATTTCGAGTCTCATAGTAAAGGATCTGAATAAGGTATTACTGTTTTTCATTTTTTATAATTTTGCTAAAAAAATAAAACAGTTTTCGCTTTGTCATTATGGGGTATTGTATGTAGATTGATGAGGGAAAAAATCTATTTAATCAATTTTAGAATAAGGCTGTAACGTAACAAAATATGGAAAAAGTCAACATGTCTCAATACTTTCGGAATGCACTGTATATGCTGAAAGGCCAGGCGGTTCTAGTGTTAAATAGCCAAATTGATTAGTCAACAATTCGCACAAACTAATAGCAAAAAAATTAATAGCTAAACGCTAACGAGCGAAAACAAACAAACTAATTGCAAAGACAGGCAAATCCAGCTCATAAAGTTATACAAGCATAGCTAGTAGCTACCGAATGTCATTTTTGGTGAGTGGACATTTACAAGCGAAAGTGAATGAGAGAAATTGTGATGCATGCTTTTCTGAAGGAAGAGCAGCATGTGTACAGGAGCAGAGGGGAGAAGAACGGAAGAGAAAAAAAATGCTAGTAGGAAGAATAGGGAAAAAATGGCAGCTGTACAGATAACTCATCCAGAGCTCTTTGACTTCTGGCAGAAAGCCATTATAAGATATCTGATGGCAAACATTTAGTAATGAATTGCATACAAGTGTAACTTCATCACCTTATGTGCGCCACACAACAGAGACTCACAAATAGCAGATCCCCAAAACATGCTAACCTCGCACCATTACAACAACAGGGGAGGTTAGCATTTTGGGGGGTTATGATATTTATGCGTCTAACTTTCTCACTCATCATTATTCACGATTTATTCAGGATTATCCGTAATCATGGTAGCATCCCCACATTAATGTAGAAGTGCTTAGAAACATATTATATTCTTATTTACAATGTAAGTGTCTCCAAAATGACACAATAGATTATTTACCATTAATTTCTATTGGGCACAAAATAATCTGAAACACAACCAAAACAAATAGCAAATGCATCCAACAAATTTGTAGAGTCACAAGCTTGATGTAGTTATTGCGTGCTATGAATATGAGACCAAATACTTTACTTTTTACTATAATACACAGAAGTGAATTTGTCCCAATACTTTTGGTCCCCTAAAATGGTGGCACTATGTACAAAAAGTGCTGTAATTTCTAAACGGTTCTCCCAATATGGATGAAAATACCCTCAAATCCAAAGTGCTGGAGTACAGAGCCAAGACAACAACAAATGTGTCACTGTGCCAATACTTTTGGAGCTCATTATATTATGAATTGTGTGTTTTATGACTATGACTGTTAGACCTAGTCATTGAAAGGTTATTTTCTCTCCCTTTGCAGTGAACCATTGCCAAAGGAACAAAACTGCCCATAGGCTCAAACCACATCACCATTGGCTGCAGGAACAAGGCAGTCTATCAGTAGCATGTCACTTTCACATAAGTACATGTATTAGGAAAAAATAGTTACATTCAAAAGCAACATTCCTGTGAAAAATATCTGCTGTAGAAATAACATTTGCTCTGTTGAGGAGTATTTGAAAATGTTTTTTGGGACTACATGAGTTATGACTTCACTCAGATGAGCACCTCATTCCATAGAAACATTTCAGTAGCGCCAGCACATCTAAATTTAACTTATTATTCAATTTGTCCCACTTTTCAGTCCCAACGTGGAGTCGATGGGATTGCGATTTGGCATGATAAAGGACCATTGCCCCACCACGGGAGAGGTTGTTGCTTTTGACGGCTCAATTCTCTACCTCCATGTGAAGATGGAAGAGGTAGGTTACTTTTCAATGATGCCTCTGAAGTCTGGCCTACTGTATGTCTTGAGTATAGATGTGTATTAATTATGTGCAAATAATTGGCTTATACTTGGAAATACACTCAATGGGAACAGCTGCTTACGGAGGAGGTTGACATCAAGGTTCAGATGACACCCCATTCTGAGGTCCTGCCACCCCATTGTGACCTGTGCATCCCCTTTTACAACGTGGTGCTGAGGAGGTAACAGGGCCTTATTCATAAGGGCAAAATGCAGCATTCATTAGGGCATACCATAGCAAAACATTTTACAACGGAAAACAATGGATCTTATTGGACAAGTTCAGGTAGTCCCTTCCTGTTTTCAGTATGTTGTTTTCCATTTGGTCTCTAATAAAAATATACCCCAGTGCTGCAATATGAGCCGCTAATTGTCCACCACTAATTGACCTTGACTTGTTTTTGTAGTTTTTTTTAAAGGCCTATGGTCTACCTATGAGAGAAGTTCTCTGGGGGGAAACCAGACCTAAGTGCAGCCATGCTGTCAGTATTTAGCTAACCTCCCCTTTGTTCTCTACGTGGAGTCATCTATTGTCCTCGCTTGATAGCTTCAAGCAAAGACATTTGCTTTCTTGAGATGCCTCAGCTGTTTTACACACAAGTCCAGACGTCTTTTAAAACGGTCCATTTCCCCCTAAATCCTAAAAAGCCTTTTCACTGAATGGTGCGACAAGACATTATTGTTCTCTCCCTGTATGTTGTCAAGGTTAATGAGCATCCTGGGACTGAAGCTTGTGGGGCGGAATCTTTACGATCCAAAAAGCGCAGTCATACTTGGGAAACGTCGGTGAGTACAGTTAAAGTCGGAAGTTTACATACACTTAGGTTGGAGTCATTAAAACTGGTTTTCCACCACTCCACAAATGTCTTGTTAACAAACTATAGTTTTGGCAAGTCGCTTAGGACATCTACTTTGTGCATGACACAAGTAATTTTTCCAACAACTGGTTACAGTGTCACGATCGAGGTAAGGAGTAGACCAAGGCGCAGCGTGATGAACAAACATACTTTAATTAGTTAAAGCATCAAAATACAAAACAAAACACGACTCGTGACGTCCACGGTATCAATGACGGAACAAAAACCCACAACCACAAAGGGAAAACATACAGTTTAAATATGGCTCCCAATCAGAGACAACCAGCCAACAGCTGACACTCGTTGCCTCTGATTGGGAGTCACTCAGGCAAACATAGAATACAACAAACTAGAATGAACACCAACATAGAAATACACACATAGAAATGAACACACCCTGGCTCAACATAATGAGTCCCAGAGCCAGGGTGTGACAGTACCCCCCCCCTAAAGGCGCGGACTGCGACCGCCCCTCAACTAAACAAACCAGGGGAGGGCTGGGCGGGCATACCTCCTCGGCGGCGGTTCTGGCTCCGGCCTTGACCACCACCCTCCAATACACCCCCCATAGTACCCCTGGTCCAGTCTGGCCCCGCCGGCTGGAGCAGGACTGGACTTAACAGGAGCGATCCTTACCAGGCTGTCGACTCGCACCCCTGGCTTGGTGCGTGGAGGAGGAACGGGCCTTACCAGGCTGACGACGCGCACCCCTGGCTTGGTGCGTGGAGGAGGAACGGGCCTTACCAGGCTGACGACGCGCACCCCTGGCTTGGTGCGTGGAGGAGGAACGGGCCTTACCAGGCTGACGACGCGCACCCCTGGCTTGGTGCGTGGAGGAGGAACGGGCCTTACCAGGCTGACTTCTCGCACCCCTGGCTTAGTGCGAGTGGCAGGAACAGGCCGGACCGGGCTGGCGACGCGCACCGTAGGTTTGGTGCGAGTGGCAGGAACAGGCCGGGTCGGGCTGGCGACGCGCACCGTAGACTTGGTGCGGGTGGCAGGAACAGGCCGGACCGGGCTGGCGACGCGCACCGTAGGTTTGGTGCGAGTGGCAGGAACAGGCCGGGTCGGGCTGGCGCCGCGCACCGTAGACTTGGTGCGGGTGGCAGGAACAGGCCGGGTCGGGCTGGCGACGCGCACCGTAGACTTGGTGCGGGTGGCAGGAACAGGCCGGACCGGGCTGGCGACGCGCACCGTAGGTTTGGTGCGAGTGGCAGGAACAGGCCGGGTCGGGCTGGCGACGCGCACCGTAGACTTGGTGCGGGTGGCAGGAACAGGCCGGACCGGGCTGGCGACGCGCACCGTAGGTTTGGTGCGAGTGGCAGGAACAGGCCGGGTCGGGCTGGCGACGCACACCGTAGGCTTGGTGCGTGGAGCAGGAACAGGCCGGGCTGGGCTGTCGACGCACACCGTAGGCTTGGTGCGTGGAGCAGGGACAGGCCGGACTGGGCTGGCGACGCACACCGTAGGCTTGGTGCGTGGAACAGAGACAGGCCGGGCTGGGCTTGCGACGCACACCGTAGGCTTGGTGCGTGGAGCAGGGACAGGCCGAACCGGGCTGTGGAGACGGATAGGAGGCCTGGAGTGAAGAGCGGCCACCACCCGTCCTGGCTGAATGCCTACCCTCACACACTGTGTGAGGCATCCGCACAGGACGTACAGGGCGGTGAACCCCTGGCCTGGTGGCTTTCTGGATCCGCCCCCTTTTCTCCTCCGTCAGCCCCGTCGTCCATGCCGTGTGCCCCCCCCTAAAAAATTTCTGGGGTTGCCTCACGACCGTCCGACGACGACCCTGATCACGCCGTTGCTCCTCTCTCCGTCGCCTCTCCACTGTCTCACTCCATGGCCGGCGATCCATCCCGGCCAGGATTTCCCCCCAAGTCCAGGACCCTTTACCGTCCAATATCTCCTCCCATGTCCAGGCTGCCTGCTCCTGGACACGCTGCTCCTCTTTCGCCAGGGCCTTTCCCGGCGCTTCCTCCCATGTCCACCCCAAGGGCTGCCCCTGGACACGCTGCTTGGTCGTTGCATGGTGGGTTTTTCTGTCACGATCGAGGTAAGGAGTAGACCAAGGCGCAGCGTGATGAACAAACATACTTTAATTAGTTAAAGCATCAAAATACAAAACAAAACACGACTCGTGACGTCCACGGTATCAATGACCGAACACGGAACAAAAACCCACAACCACAAAGGGAAAACATACAGTTTAAATATGGCTCCCAATCAGAGACAACCAGCCAACAGCTGACACTCGTTGCCTCTGATTGGGAGTCACTCAGGCAAACATAGAATACAACAAACTAGAATGAACACCAACATAGAAATACACACATAGAAATGAACACACCCTGGCTCAACATAATGAGTCCCAGAGCCAGGGTGTGACATACAGACAGATTATTTCACTTATAATTCACTGTATCACAATTCCAGTGGGTCAGAAGTGTACATACACTAAGTTGACTGTGCCTTTAAACAGCTTGGAAAATTCAGAAAATGATGTCATGGCTTTAGAAGCTTCTGATAGGCTAATTGACATCATTTGAGTCAATTGGAGGTGTTCCTGTGGATGTATTTCAAGGTCTACCTTCAAACTCAGTGACTCTTTGCTTGACATCATGGGAAAATCATTAGAAATCAGCCAAGACCTCATAAAAATCATTGTAGACCTCCACAAGTCTGGTTCATCCTTGGGAGCAATTTCCAAATGCCTGAAGGTACCACGTTCATCTGTACAAACAATAGTACGCAAGTATAAACACCATGGGACCACGCAGCCGTCATACCGCTCAGGAAGGAGATGCGTTCTGTCTCCGAGAGATGAACGTATTTTGGTGCGGAAAGTGCAAATCAATCCCAGAACAACAGCAAAGGACCTTGTGAAGATGCTGGAGGAAACAGGTACAAAAGTATCTATATCCACAGTAAAACGAGTCCTATATCGACATAACCTGAAAGGCCGCTCAGCAAGGAAGAAGACACTGCTCCAAAACCGCCATAAAAAAGCCAGACTACGGTTTGCAACTGCACATGGGGACAAAGATCGTGCTTTTTGGAGAAATGTCCTCTGGTCTGATGAAACAAAAATAGAACTGTTTGGCCATAATGACCATCGTTATGTTTGGAGGAAAAAGGGCGAGGCTTGCCAACCGAAGAACACCATCCCAACCGTGAAGCACGGGGGTGGCAGCATCATGCTGTGGGGGTGCTTTGCTGCAGGAAGGACTGTGCACTTCACAAAATAAATGGCATCATGAGGAAGGAAAATGATGTGGATATATTGAAGCAACATCTCAAGACATCAGTCAGGAAGTTAAAGCTTGGTCGCAAATGGGTCTTCCAAATGGACAATGACCCCAAGCATACTCCCATGCTGTGGCATAATGGCTTAAGGACAACAAAGTCAAGGTATTGGAATGGCCATCACAAAGCCCTGACCTCAATCCTATAGAACATTTGTGGGCAGAACTGAAAAAGCGTTTGCAAGCAAGGAGGCCTTCAAACCTGACTCAGTTACACAAGCTCTGTCAGGAGGAATGGGCCAAATTCACCCAACTTATTGTGGGAAGCTTGTGGAAGGCTACCCGAAACATTTGACCCAAGTTAAACAATTTAAAGGCAATGCTACCAAATACTAATTGAGTGTATGTCAACTTCTGACCCACTGGGAATGTGATATAATAATTCTCTCTACAATTATTCTGACATTTCACATTCTTAAAATAAAGTGGTAATCCTAACTGACCTAAGACAGGGAATTTTTACTAGGATTAAATGTCAGGAATTGTGAAAAACTGAGTTTAAATGTATTTGGCTAAAGTGTATGTAAACTTCCGACTTCAACTGTAATTAGATTTGTCCTCAAACTGAGAAATTATACTCCAACTGAAATCTCAATGATAATAGCAGCTGACTCAAGCCCCTTGGTTTCCATCTTCATATTCTAGGCTGCAGGTGTGGCCAGGTTACTCAACGTGCATAAAGCACACTGACGGAGGCCTGTACCTCCAGGTGGATGTGTCCCACAAAGTGCTGTGAAACGAGTCCATCCTTGACTGCATGTGAGTTCATTTCAGTGCACCTGTATCACCCTAACCACTTAGAAGAATGGTTACATTACGTCACTGACTAACTTGTGTGATACTCTAAAATATGCATGATAAATCTGTTCTCTTGCTAGATATTTTAAGGTGTACACTGAGTGTACAAAACATTAATGAAACCTGCTCTTTCCATGACATAAACTGACCAGGTGAATCCAGGTGAAAGCTATGATCCCTTATTGATGTCACCTGTTAAATCCACTTCAATCAGTGTAGATGAAGGGGGACAGGTTAAAGAAGGATTTTTAAGCCTTGAGACATGGATTGTGTCCTTGTCCAATTCAGAGGGTAAATCGGTAAGACAAAAGATTTAAGTGCCTTTGAACGTGGTATGGTAGTACGTGCCAGGCGCACCGGTTTGTGTCAAGAACTGCAATGCTGCTGGGTTTTTCACACTCAACAGTTTTCCATGTGTATCAAGAATGGTCCACGACCCAAAGGACATCCAGCCAACTTGACACAACTGTGGGGTGCTAGTCAATATCAGGAAGGTGTTCCTAATGTTTGATATACTCAGTGTATATACACATGGTGTGTATATCCACATGGTGCACTGTCTACTGTAGTTCATACCAATTTAAACAGGCCTTTTTTTGCCATAATGATATTTACAAATAGCATTTTCACTGATACACCCATATATATTTCAACACACATCAGCAAGCTCTCACAGAAAGTGCATCAGCCTGCTCATAGAGATTTGGATACGGTGTATGCCTCAACCACTTCAAAACTACCTCAGGGACTAGTCTTGGTCACTAAAGGGCCATTTGCTGGGAAACAAATGGGCTGACTTGCAGGGCCGTGAGTGGTAACCTTTGTCCTTTTGACCCCTCTGCCTCCCACGAACATGATCTACCAGCAAAGCAAGGAAAGCTTCCGGGATGAGTGCACCAAAGCGCTGATCGGCAGCATTGTCATCACCCGCTACAACAACCGCACCTACTGCATAGATGACATTGAGTGGGGCAAGTCCCCCAAAGACTCCTTCACCATGGCCGACGGCTCCACGACCACCTTCATCAAGTATTACAGGTAAGGCCTGGTCTGAAGTCGGCCATTCATTCAATGTCAAGCAGGCAACTATACTATGTTTTTGAACAGAGAAGTGTGTGTTGTTCAAGTGCATTTCCTATGTGTTTATTATACCTTTTTTCCTGTAAAATGAACAGCAAAAACTACGGCATCACCATAAAAGATATGGCCCAACCCATGCTTATCCATCGACCCAAAGAGAGGTCCAAGCAAGGGGGAAAGATAAAAATATTCCTATGGACTCATTAGCTGAAGCTATGAAATGTAGCATTATCTTGAAATAGTTATATTTTTGTACTTATTTATTCATACTCATCTCAAAATATGATCTTGTCTATCCTCACACAACCAACAACCCTGAAACAAAATACTTGTCTGTATCCTTGACACAGAAGGCCACCTTGTGGCGCTAGTCAGTATTGAGATTAATCTCAACATACTCTGTTTTCATAGCTCTTTATGTTGTTCTACTATAACACATAATCCTTTCGAGTTTTTATTGTGTAGTTGGAGACATTTTTCTCCATAGAGATACAATATGCAATACGTTCTATTTCATTTTGTGTGTCTTCCAGCAAATCAGGCCCGGCGCCACGAGGCTGCAATGCCCCCTTAGTTTGAATATTGTGCCCCCTCAGTTTTGTATCCCTAATCTGTCCCCTCCGTCATGCCCAACCCATTTGTTGTGTATGCTTCATTCATGCAACTCCCTTGCACGCATCATATATACATCATACACGTTTTACCAGTTGAAAAAAAAAACATTTTGATTGGGTCAATTTGACTGTTTAGGTTTACTTTAAAAGTTATGTAGTACGGAAAAAAAATGTTTCACCGCGCAGCTGGATGGAATTGAGCTAATGTTAACAGTTAGGTAGGTAGCTGATAGCATGATGGATATTAGAATGTGGCTTCACCAGGGCACAACCGCAGCATCGGATCAAAGGGTAGGGGAGGGGGAGAAGCCTGCCACAGAGGCCAAGGCCGCTTAGACTACGCTAATCACCGAGGACAAGGCCGCCGAGCCCAGCAGCAAAGGCACCTGCGCAACCGTCTTGCTGCCTGGTGACATAGGAGGTAACCAACCCGCGGAGGGGCCTGCAGCCGCCAAGACCGAATCTAGCAGCAGCACCGCCAGGATATTACAAGCACCGACACCTCCGTTAGTGCCTGACGACCTCGGTGATGAGGAGCCAACCCAGGTTTGTCTAGGGAAATACCCAACCAGCCTGTACTGTGGGAGAAAACGTGCATTTTGTAGCGTGTGGTTCAAAGGCAGAGAGTGTCTGGAATATTCCTGCAAGGCAAATGCAGCTTTCTGCTATCCTTGTCGAAAATGTAACATTGGCTCCATGCTAACGCCGATAAGGCATTCACCCAAACTGGATATAATAACTAGCGACCTGCCATTGATAGCAACAAGGGACTGGGGAGGCACGTATCAAGCAAATAACATTTGAAATGCATGGTACTTTGGACAGAAAGACAAGCAAGGAATGCACAGGGAGCGGAGATTTCAACACTTGTGAATTCTGCACAGCTTGCAATAAATCATATGTATTTGTCATCGATTGTGAACATTGTGGCATTTCTTGCTGTCAATGAGCTTCCTCTTAGGGGAACTTTGGATGCGATGGATGCAAGAGGGGAGGGGCGCGGTGGACTATTCCTGGCGATGTTAGATTATAAGATCAGGAAAGACAAGCAACTTGCTAGTGCCTTAAGCACAATTCTCCGCAATGCCACATACACATCTCATGCCATCCAGAACGAAATAATTGGGCTCATGAGTGAGGTAGTCACAGAGGAAATTGTAAAGGAAGTAGGTGATTCATGGTACACATTTAAAGTGGATGGGACTAAAGACCTAACGGGGTGCGAGAACATTTCAATTGTACTCCATTGTGTGGGCGAAAACAATCGTGTTTGTGAGCGGCTACTGTCAATGGCAATGAGTAAAGAATGTGATGCTTTATCGCTGACTAACTTGGTCCTTTCAGAGCTAACAAATCTTGGCCTTAGTACCGAGAAGATTCTTAGTCAATGTTATGATGGGGCCAGTATGATGTCTGGTAAACAAGGGGGCATGCAAAGGGTAGTGCAGGACAAGCTGAATCGGGAAGTGCCTTATGGGCATTGCTTTAACCACCAGCTGCATTTAGTCATAGTGCACGCTATGTCCTCTGAGGGTGCATTGGATGACTTTTTTAATGTGTGTAATTCCCTTTACAAGTTTCTCAGGAACCCAACTGTGGCTGCACAATATACGGGAGAGAAACTGAAACGGCTGCTTGAGCAGCGATGGACTGGTCATCTAGCCACGGTGAGTGTCATTATAAAATCTCTGGACAGCATCATCCACCTGCTCAGAGAAATCGAGAGTAACGGCACCTAAGGTACAGAGGTGCGACTTGAGGCTGTGGGCCTATTGAAAGCTGTTTCCGAGCCGAGCTTCAGATTCATTGCCTTCATGGTCCATAAAGTCCTCAGCCTGCTCGACACCCCCACCCCCCCCTAACAAGTTACTTCAGGCTGAAGCAACAGATCTGTACACTGGCATCTGAGTCGTCCGCAGTGCCCACAATTGCATGAAAAAACTGCAACGTGACAGTGAGTTTGAGTTATTGGAGAAATACAAGCACACGGACACCCCTGCTCCAAGCAAACAGCAAAGAGTAGTGAGTAGTAATCTGAAAGAATATGTGGTCGAAACAACAATAGGCCAGCAAGAAGAGGATAATGAGAGGGAGTGCAAAATACTTTTCAGCATTCTGGATGCTGTACTGGGAGAAATGTCAGCAAGATTTAACGAACGAAACCGACAACTTGTTGAGGCCCTGTGTGCCTTGCACCCAAAGAATGAAACATTTATGGATGTGGAAAAGGTGAAACCACTGCTGGACTTAATCTCATGAGACTTTGGGGAAGTTGAGTTTACTGTCGCACGCCAGTTTCTACAGACTGAAATTGCCCGATCTGGAGAAGAAAAATGGACTATGCAGAGCATTTTGGATAGATACTCCGGGCCTCTAACAGCAATGCCTACTGTGATAATGGCATTGAAGCTGGGATTAACATTTGGAGCATCCACGGCAACTTGCGAGAACTCTTTTTCAACATTGAAAAACGTATTCAGTGAGCACAGATGGAGCATGTTGCACAGGAGGAAAGCGCAGCTGATTCAACTGGCATTTGAGAGGGATCTTACAAGCAAATTCCGTGGGGAGTGGAATGAGAGACTGCTGAGGAGGTTCAACACAGCATCAAGGCGCCTACAACTCTTTTGAATCTGGGTAAGAACAGGCAGCCTGGCTGGGCTTGTATTATTTTGTTATTTGCTAGCTTTTGGAAATGCGTGGCAAATGTCAGAAATAGGCATAGACGTGATTTTCTTTATTGGAGTTGCTGCCAAGTCTACTGCTTGATTTCTGTGATGTGATTGGATTGGAACTGTTTGGTTTATAATATAATCAGATTGTTTTTAATGTTGTTTTATATGGTAGAAGAGGTGCATTGCATTACATTGATGAGGGTGGGCAGACATTGACCAATGGTTGAGTAACGATGTAGCTATAGTGTTGCCATAAACAACTAATTGCTATGGAATACTAATTTCTCTGTTATCATACGCAGGTAGCTGCGTCCAAGCTGCATTGTACCGATTAGTCGTGGTAGTGCATTGTACATTATTGTTTGCTTTCTGCGATTGGAGATGCATTGTATTGGTATGAGGAAGTGTTATTACGGTAATTAGCAACTGTTTTGCATTGGATTGATGGGTATTGTGCATGTAGCTGTGTAGCTACATGCACAATAGGGAAATACCCAACCAGCCTGTACTGTGGGAGACCATGTGTTCTCGCATACCCCGAGAGCATCTGGTCAGCGGGGTGGTGGCACAGGAATCCTCATCTCTCCCAAGTGGACATTCTCTCTTTTTCCCCTGACCCATCTGTCTATCTCCTCATTTGAATTCCATGCTGTCACAGTCACTAGCCCATTCAAGCTTAACATCCTTGTCATTTATCGCCCTCCAGGTTCCCTTGGAGAGTTCATCAATGAGCTTGACGCCTTGATAAGTTCCTTTCCTGAGGATGGCTCACCCCTCACAGTTCTGGGTGATTTCAACCTCCCTACGTCTACCTTTGACTCATTTCTCTCTGCCTCCTTCTTTCCACTCCTCTCCTCTTTTGACCTCACCCTCTCACCGTCCCCCCCTACTCACAAGGCAGGCAATACGCTTGACCTCATCTTTACTATATGCTGTTCTTCTGCTAATCTCACTGCAACTCCCCTCCATGTCTTCGACCACTACTTTGTATCCTTTTCTCTTTCGCTCTCCTCCAACACTACTCACTCTGCCCCTACACAGATGGTAATGCGCCGTCGCAACCTTCGCTTTCTCTCTCCTGCTACTCTCTCCTCTTCCATCCTATCATCTCTTCCCTCTGCTCAATCCTTCTCCCTCCAATCTCCTGATTCTGCCTCCTCAACCCTCCTCTCCTCCCTTTCTGCATCCTTTGACTCTCTATGTCCCCTATCCTCCCGGCCGGCTCGGTCCTCCCCTCCTGCTCCGTGGCTTGACGACTCATTGCGAGCTCACAGAACAGGGCTCCAGGCAGCCGAGCGGAAATGGAGGAAAACTAGACTCCCTGCAGACCTGGCATCTTTTCATCCCTCCTCTCTACATTTTCTTCATCTATTTCTGCTGCTAAAGCCACTTTCTACCACTCTAAATTCCAAGCATCTGCCTCTAACCCTAGGAAGCTCTTTGCCATCTTCTCCTCCCTGCTGAATCCTCCTCCCCCTCCCCCCTCCTCCCTCTCTGTGGATGACTTCGTCAACCATTTTGAAAAGAAGGTTGACGACATCCGATCCTCGTTTGTTAAGTCAAATGACATTGCTGGTCCTTTTCACACTGCCCTACCCTATGCTTTGACTTCTTTCTCCCCTCTCTCTCCAGATGAAATCTTGTGACTTGTGACGGCCGGCCGCCCAACAACATGCCCGCTTGACCCTATCCCCTCCTCTCTTCTCCAGACCATCTCCGGTGACCTTCTCCCTTACCTCACCTCGCTCATCAACTTATCCTTGACCACTGGCTATGTCCCTTCCGTCTTCAAGAGAGCGAGAGTTGCACCCCTTCTCAAAAAACCAACACTCGATCGTTCCGATGTCAACAACTACAGACCAGTATCCCTTCTTTCTTTTCTCTCCAAAACTCTTGAGCGTGCCGTCTTTAGCCAACTCTCTTGCTAACTCTCTCAGAATGACCTTCTTGATCCAAACCAGTCAGGCTTCTCTGTGTCACGGAGGCTCTCCGCACTGCTAAAGCTAACTCTCTCTCCTCTGCTCTTGTCCTTCTAGACCTGTCTGCTGCCTTTGATACTGTGAACCATCAGATCCTCCTCTCCACCCTCTCCGAGTTGGGCATCTCCGGCGCGGCTCACTCTTGGATTGCGTCCTACCTGAACGGTCGCTCCTACCAAGTGGTGTGGCGAGAATCTGTCTCCGCACCACGTGCTCTCACCACTGGTGTCCCCCAGGGCTCAGTTCTAGGCCCTCTCCTATTCTCGCTATACACCAAGTCACTTGGCTCTGTCATATCCTCACATGGCCTCTCCTATCATTGCTACGCAGACGACACACAACTAATCTTCTCCTTTCCCCCTTCTGATAACCAGGTGGCGAATCACATCTCTGCATGTCTGGCAGACATATCAGTGTGGATGACGGATCACCACCTCATGCTGAACCTCGGCAAGACGGAGCTGCTCTTCCTCCCGGGGAAGGACTGCCCGTTCCATGATCTCGCCATCACAGTTGACAACTCCGTTGTGTCCTCCTCCCAGAGTGTGAAGAGCCTTGGCGTGACCCTGGACAACACCCTGTCGTTCTCCGCTAACATCAAGGCGGTGACCCGATCCTGTAGGTTCATGCTCTACAACATTCGGAGAGTACGATCCTGCCTTACACAGGAAGCGGCACAGGTCCTAATCCAGGCACTTGTCATCTCCCGTCTGGATTACTGCAACTCGCTGTTGGCTGGGCTCCCTGCCTGTGCCATTAAACCCCTACAACTCATCCAGAATGCCGCAGCCCGTCTGGTGTTCAACCTTCCCAAGTTCTCTCACGTCACCCCGCTCCTCCGCACACTCCACTGGCTTCCAGTTGAAGCTCGCATCTGCTACAAGACCATGGTGCTTGCCTACGGAGCTGTGAGGGGAACGGCACCTCTGTACCTTCAGGCTCTGATCAGTCCCTACACCCAAACGAGGGCATTGCGTTCATCCACCTCTGGCCTGCTGGCCCCCCTACCTCTGCGGAAGCACAGTTCCCGCTCAGCCCAGTCAAAACTGTTCGCTGCTCTGGCACCCCAATGGTGGAACAAGCTCCCACACGACGCCAGGACAGCAGAGTCACTCACCACCTTCCAGAGACACTTGAAACCCCACCTCTTTAAGGAATACCTGGGATAGGATAAAGTAATCCTTCTACCCCCCCCCCCCTTACCCCACCCCAAAGAAAGAAAAAAACATATTGTAAAGTGGTTATCCCACTGGCTATAAGGTGAATGCACCAATTTGTAAGTCGCTCTGGATAAGAGTGTCTGCTAAATGACGTAAATGTAAATGTAAACTTGCAATTTCTCGAGACGGTTATGAATTGTCCATTTTTGTAAAGCGGTGCAGTAGCCTGTATTCTTGCGGCAAGACAGCCGTGCGTGGCTGCAAATACATTGTGTGTAATTGTACTATCGATTACTATCCATCCCATGTTATCAGTAAGCGAAAATAGTTGTGCCCCCTTTAGTCATTTCTGATGCCCCCTTGCCGAGTTAATCCTGCCGCCGGGCCTGCAGCAAGTCATAACCGCAGTGATCCTGCTTCTGCCTGAGCTCTCCTTCATGACTGGAATCCCTGACAAAATTAGAAAGGACTTCCGCGCCATGAAGGTACAATCATTGTGTCAGCAATGCATTCTCTTCCCTCTGGGGTTTTCTGTGACATTTACATCCTGTGACATCTACAGTCCATGAAGGCAGCACAGTGATTTTGATAACGCAGCATTTGATAACAATAGTAACCAGACAATGTGTTTTCTTTCAAATACTTTTGTTGTGCTTGCTTGAGTTTTCCTGCCTCAATTAAATAAATGGAATAGTCTCAATTATAAACCCAGCTGGCAATCCAGACAGGCTCAATCTAGCGCGCCAAGTATTGGGGGGGGACTAATACTGTTTGAACCCAGACATGTCAGAGAGTAACTGGGAAGGGCAACATCATAGAGATAGAATTACTCTCGTTCTATTGGTATAGTGCTATACAGAATGACGGTTTTACCGTCCCAGGACCTGACGATGCACATCAATGTGAGTGAGTAGTGAGCTGCACACCCCCTCCCTGAAGCAGCTCCTGAAGAACATGAACACCAACCCAGAGGCCCAGAAGGAGCTGGCACACTGGGGGCTGGAGATCAGCCAAGACATCCTGGTGGTGAGGATACACACAGCACAATTAAAAAATCAACATTTATCTGAGGGAAATTAGTTAGTCGCACATAAAATGAACATTAATTTATCTGGTGGTGAGGCTCCACACAGCTCATTAGATATCAGACAACATGCTCCCTCACACATTACACTTAAAAAATGGTTGGATGCTGGGTCGTCATTCCTGAAATCCATAGAGTTAACAGCAATTGATCAGTCGTTTGTTAAATTAAATGCACAATTAATTAGAGCACAACCAATACATCGGTTGACCGATTTTATCGGCCAATATTAGCCTTTCACATAAATATTTGTATTGGTGTTTATTCCACCATTTAAAGCACCGATATTGTATACATAGAATGAACAAATACGTGTGCTCATTTCCGGTCATCTTTAGAACGTTTCAATGGTTGCCTGAAGAGCGCGCTCTATGAGCTGCTCATTGAACATCATTCAGCCCGTAAATCACAACTTGAGAATCAGATCAAATTATATTTGTCACATGCTCCGAATACAACAGGTGTAGACCTTACCATGAAATGCTTACTTACAAGCCCTTAACCAACAATACAGTTTTAAGAAAATAGAGTTAAGAAAATATTTACTAAATAAACTAAAGTATAAAAAAAAATGAAAGTAACACAATAATGAGGCTATATACAGGGGGTACCGGTACCAAGTCAATGTGCAGGGGTACAGGTTAGTTGAGGTCATTTGTACATGTAGGTACGGGTAAAGTGACTACGCATAGATAAATCAACAACAACAAAACAGCGAGTAGCAGCAGTGTAAAAACAAGGGGGGGGGGGGGGGCATTTTATGAATTGGTCCGGGTGGCCATTTTATTAATTGTTCAGCAGTCTTATGGCTTAGGGGTAGAAGCAGTTAAGGAGCCTTTCGGGTGGCCATTTTATTAATTGTTCAGCAGTCTTATGGCTTGGGGGTAGAAGCAGCAGTGAGTGGGCATGGTGGTTTGACGGTGAGTAGCTTGCAGCCCTATCCTCATCACATGCTCACTTGACGGTGAGTAGCTTGCAGCCCTATCCTCATCACATGCTCACTTGGTTAACGCTAGCTGGTTAACTAACCAGCAATGTAGTTAGGCTCTATCTAGCCAGAAAGGTAGTTATCCTAGCAATCTGTGCGATGTATGTGCGAACACTGGACTGGCGCCAAAGTCTACACTGACTCATCCTTCATACTGTAGCAACCTGTTCGTTGGTTGTATTGTACTTACCAGTACCCAGTGTTCGCGGGGTCCGACATGCCAGTCAACCTGCTATCTGCCAACCACGGGAATGCCTGGAATGTTCTGGTGCCGGGCATCCTGGTGGTTGGTGGAGCGGCGGGGGGGTTGGCATGGGGGTGGAGCATCGCTAGTTTAAGACCATGCTTAGCCATTGTTTTCTCTCTTTCATCTGGCCTTAACAAGAGGTGGTCACGGTTGTTTTATACGGGTATCCTTGATTTATTTGGCGTGGGCTACGGCCAAACAGTAGCCTGTGTTGAGTTTGGTTAATAAACCGGGAATTCGTAAACTCAAACCTCTGTCTGGACAATTGCTAATTTATGATCTAGCCAGGTCATTACAATACAAAAGTAACACTGTTACTGTCTGGGGCAATTATGTAAATTGTTATTTGGTTCGTTAGCGCAGATCCATAATTCTGGCCATGCGCATCATTCTTGTATTATTTGGTTCGTTAGCGCAGATCCATAATTCTGGCCATGCGCATCATTCATGACGAGATAAGATATTTTGCTACCTACCTAAATTAGAGCATGTGACTAAAACCAGTGCGACATGCATTTTCCCACATTAACGTTTTCCGTCATCAGCGCAAGCCATTTGCAGTTGAAATATATAGCCAATACAATTTTTTTGAATAACAGTAATTTACATTATAGTTTCAGTAAGATTTTTTTTTAAAATAATGAACAGCTAGCGTGTGCTTGTCATAACAACAGACAGTACATTATGTGATAACAAGCCAGAGATGGAGAGAAGTGGTCCTCTGTAGCTCAATTGGTAGAGCATGGCGCTTGTAACGCCAGGGTAGTGGGTTCGATCCCCAGGACCACCCCTACGTTAAAAAAAAAAAATTATGCGCACATGACTGTAAGTCGCTTTGGATAAAAGCGTCTGCTAAATGGCATATTATTAAAAGAGGAGATGGGAATCCCATTGGGCAATGAATTTAGGAACGTATAACGCCTTACTCAGCAGACTGTCGACCAATCGTTGTCATGTTGAGTCACGTGGTTGCTAAACTACTCGTCACGCAATCCCTTCTCGAAATCAGGGTATGAGTCGAGGAACCTGCCTATTTTCCTTGAAAGTACGTAATGTGACAATTCCAAAGCTATACGATATTACAGAGAACAAGTTCATTATCTCAAATCTTGGAAAATATTTGTAGTGTTGTACTTGTTGACGAAATCCATGCTAATGTTGGGGTTTTGAGCTAGCGCCCAATTGACTCCCATACATTCCTTGAAGGACAGCTATCATTGACGACGCATGGGAACATGCACAATGGGCACAATTCCAATGGAGTTTCCCATCTCCTCAAAAGTATCTCTGAACAAGCTCTCATTGCAAGGTTGCCATAAAGTGTTTCTTTACATGACCCTTGACTGTTGTAAAGCACTGTAGTGAATCTACTCAATCCAAAGTGGTGACATTATGAACTGCATGTTACAGGATTTCACTGCATAGTTTGTGATCTTGTGAAAAGTGCAGTTTCAGATTCATGTTGAGACTAGGTTCAATTCATTCAGCAGTTGTTTATTTGTGTGCTTGTGCTTCAGCACTAACACTTCTGCATTCTTATCCACCGCCATAGATAGACAAATCTGTAAGTTATACCTAAGAAGGTAAACTGAAGTGTTTTGTATTTATACAGGATATAGTTGCTTTTTGGTGGTCATCATGTAAACAACAAATTTATTTATTTTAATATTTAGTTAAGAAATCATCATTTGCAGTATCAGTTAAACCTTTTGAGCACAATTTGTATTTAAAAAAATGTTTTTCATTCCACCTTTAAAAAACCATATTGGTAATCGGTGACTTTTGCCTCCCTAAAATCGCTATCGGACCCCAAAATCCCATATCGGTCGGGCTCTAAAATTAATGACTAATAATTCAGACTATTATAATTACGAATGATTATGATCAACTTGAATAGAGTTCTTCTGGTTCTTAATCACTCACTATGTTTAGGTTTATTAGGCCTGTCCTGTGTTCAGAAAGCCTCCCATCACAGCTCCTAGGGGCCACGTTGAAGCTTTCGAAAAATAACTTAGGACAAACGGCTTTTCCCTCAAAGTTTAACCACAAGAGGATGTCATACATTTTCTCAAAGCTGCTTTTAAAAGTCGAGTAATAAAATAGATTCCCAGGAGTAAATCTCAGTTGATAAACATTTGGCAGTGACCTGCTGTGTGCTCCTAATGGGTTAGAATAGTTAAAGTCTTCTAAAATACCTGCCGAGTTAAATGGACTCTCAAGGGTAAAGAATATTTATACAGAGCTCTTACTCTGACCTCTTAATCAAATTAGCATGTATCCACTACTCTCCGGTTTTACAAGCACTTGTAAAAGGACCCATTTCCCCTCTCTTGAGACATTCCATGCATACAGGATTACAGACCTTTCTTTGTGTAACTATAAAAAGTACTATGAACTATTGTGGTGTTCCATCGAGACTACAGGAAGAATTCTGCATCCTTAGTCACTGCAGCTGATGTCAGCTGGTCCAGGGAGGTTGTCAGGGATGCTTCCATCAGCTGTGTGAGTCTCAGGGTCAAAGGGTCAAGTACAGCCAACTGAGGATATCAGGGGAATGACTAGCTTACTGTAGCTTGGGCGACATTACGATAGCACCATATAGCGACGATGATTAACAGCCATCGTCGATGGTGACGACATCGTGATGCCACACAATGTTTTAGCCTTTGAATTTGAACGGAGTCAGGCAGCACACAACAGCGCACAGTGGATAATTGAAGCGCGCCTCCGATTCCCCATTCAAGTGCAGGCAACAGGCAATCAGCACATCACCCACCACTTTACAATGTGAGCTGGAGGCAGTATGCATTTTCAAAACATATTTAATTGTTGAAACCTGAATGTTTTATTTCATATTATGAGGCATGTCTTGCTTCAAAGTAGCCTATAGGCAAAATCCGAAACTTGGAGGCAATTATTTTATAAAGACTTCATTGGTGGCGCGTAAATTTGGGGAAGCTTACAATTTATCCTACCATTTCTACCGTTCTGCGTGCCAGTTATGATTTTCATATGCGGATTTTCGTGGAACAGTTTAATTTCAATAGTAACGTTTTCTAAAAATCATTGTCACGTGGTTAATCATCTGAATTAAAATGATAAAAATCTTAAAGTGAAAAGTAAACTAATGCGAGATCACCAGCCTCTGCCATATGGACACATTAATACACCGTGATCCATTGGCGGCTAAAGAAATGGACGAATGGAACTCATGGCCTATAGGCCAATAAATTCCATTTCTCTTTCACACCGAAGATAGGTGATTATCGAGGGGGAGATTGTTGGACAGATTTTTCAAATAGCTTACTATGAGGAACTATAGTTTTACTATATTATCATTCGCAATCGATGTAAAAACACTTTCCTACATTTCCGCACAGCAGACCAGGTACTTCTATGCGTGCTCAGGCGTGCACGCTCCCTCAACATGATCAGGACAGAGAAACCAGACACATGCTCACGTGGAGCACTCCAAACAAAAGACTATTAACCCTCCCGTTGTCCTAGGGTCAAAATGACCCGCCACTGTGTTGAACCAACTTTATTTAATTTTTATATTTTTGGGATCATTTGTGAGAAGGAGGCAGTGAGACTTTAAAGAAAGTATCACTGCCTCCTTCTCACAAATGATCCCAAAAATATGAAAAATTAAATAAAGTTGGTTAAAATTTCAAAACCAAAACTTGTTTCTCCCAAGTGTAGCAGGTTGTGAACTCTGCAAACAACGTTTCCACTCCGATAATGAGAACGATAAATGACTAATACATGTTTTAACAGAAATCTATGTCACCAAATGACACGGGATTAACGGTACATTTATTACTGATATCATACAGTATGTAATGGGGAATTTATTTTTAAAAATCTAAGGGCAAACAATTAATTTAATGAAAGAATTTGTGAGAGACAGCTGAGCTATTCTGGAGAGAGACTCGCCTATATCTTTACCACACACCCCTCCCCTTCTTGTCTCAACATTTTAAATTATACTCAAGATACATTATCTTCACACATATTTTAGATGCTTTTCACTGACAGCCGCAACTCAACAATCAGCTAGGCCTATTGCCACGCTCGCTGCCCAAATAGCGGGCTTCCCAAATAGGCATAGGCCTACAAGCTTGTGATTTGAAACAATCCACAGCTATTAAAAGAAATAAGCTAATGATCCCGATTCCTCTGTGGCTAAGTCATGCTTTCTGGTGAAGCATTTAGAAGTATTTTATTTATTTCTGTATAGACAAGAGTAATTATATAATGTTGGCAAATGGTTTTCCATTTACTTCCCTATTGTACTCACCACTATGCCATTTCTCTCCTGTTCCATTGGTTTTCATATCAACTTTCTTTTGTTGTCCACTAGCCAAAGGCACAATCCTAGTCATATTAGCAACCACCCTAGTTGTTGCATCTTTAGATTCCCCCTCTTCCTAAGTTTCTAACAGAGATTTACATCTCTGTCACATATGGAACCTCTATCAGGTGCGCTGTTTAGAATGGTGTTTTCCCAGGTGCTCTGTTTAGAGTGGTGTTTTCCCGCGAATTACATTTTGGCAAATATTTGAAAAATACATTTTATAGACTGCTTCATTAGATGCATTACCATAATTGAAATGTAATTTTCTGTCATTCTGAGCACCGTGGGTTGACGCCCTAATGGGTAATGCACCCAATGCATATGGTTCCTGTAAATACAAATCTGGATGCATCTGGATTTGAATATAGGCTACATTTAAAATTAAATAAAAAAATAGCAATGAGAAACCATTAGTTCTGGTTGTTTTTGTTGTCTTTGGCCTACCTAAAGGTTTCTGGCAATCTCCCGAGTGGCGCAGTGCTAGCTGTGCCACTGCTAGCTGTGCCACTAGAGATCCTGGTTCGAGTCCAGGCTCTGTCGTAGCCGGCCGCGACCGGGAGACCCATGAGGCGGTGCACAATTGGCCCAGCGTCGTCCAGGGTAGGGGAGGGAATGGCCGGCAGGGATGTAGCTCAGTTGGTAGAGCATGGCGTTTGCAACGCCAGGGTTGTGGGTTCGTTTCCCACGGGGGCCAGTATGAAAACAAAAACAAAAAAAACAATATGCACTAACTGTAAGTCGCTCTGGATAAGAGCGTCTGCTAAATGACTAAAAATAAAATAAAATAACAGCATGTTCACCGTTTCTGGTTTAAGAAGTCTTTGGAGTGAAGTGATAATTGCTTCCTTTACTGAAAACATGTTCAGACTGAGCGCTTGATGCACGGGTGTTTTTGGGCAACGTTGGCCATGACTGGAAAGCGACCATAATTTCCGCTCCACCTTGCCAGTAGGTTATAGTCTCCTCCGATGGCATCTTCAGTGAGGTAGGCTGTGAGCTCTGCGCTGGACCACTGTTGTGTAATAATATAATATAATAATATGCCATTTAGCAGACGCTTTTATCCAAAGCGACTTAGAGTCATGTGTGCATACATTTTTACTTATGGGTGGTCCCGTGGATCGAACCCACTACCCTGGCGTTACAAGCGCCATGCTCTACCAATTGAGCTACAGAGAACCACTTTACCAAGAAAAAAATAACTAGGCCTAACAGTGTTTTATTCTTAGCAGGGATTTAATGAGATTGGTTGTGGCTTTTGTAACAATTTTAAATAAGATTTACATATAGCCTAGACTAAGCACCAAATCATAACCAATGTGTGGAACTACAGTCCTCTATATTGTGTCCTTCCTGCGACTCGACACCGTCCGCCCACAAGCCAAACCCTAGTCTGTACTGAAGTCTGTTTTGGGGTTGATTAAGGATATTTATGCCCCACTCAGACGGAGAGGATATTTAGTGTCCTATGCAGCCACTTAAAACATGTTTTATTTAATTGAAGAAAAAGAAACGGAAATCAGCCTGGCTTTGGACAAAAATTGTCCACTACATAGGGAATAATGCCATCTCAGACACACCCTTTTGTCTCCTTACTGACTGCTCTATTCTCCTCTGGCCTGTTCTGTTGTTTGTCTATCAGATCCCCATGAACTGCTGGGCCATCTTCTACATGCTGTGCTGAGAAGGCAGAGGAGCTAGTATCCTGCTTTGGGAAGGTGGCCCGGCCAATGGGCCTCAGGCTGGACCGCCCATCCAGGTGGAGCTCACCAGTGAGGTAGGACATGGCACTACCGCCTCTGAGCACCTTTGAACATTTATTTTTTTGTGAACAATTGTTTTTATTGAATCACAGAAGCTGTATAGGCCATGATGTGTAATATAATAACAATTCTGGAAATTTACCCAACCTCTCTTACACCCCAAATGAGATTTGTTTCACTAATGTCCCTCAACTTTGTGGTTATTTCTGTGATGCTGTATGAGTTATTCACATCGGTAAAACATAATGCTGGTGGTTGAGGTGAATTTTGTCCTTTCATTGTGAAGCGCTTTGATGTGGAAAAGTGCTATAAATCCTATAAATTATGAATCCATTATAATGAGCTTTCTCTCGCTCTTTAACTTTGGCCCATTTTTCAGCCCAATGTGCAGTTGGTGGTGTGCATCATGACAGGCAAAGGAGACAACCTCTACAGCGCCATCAAGAAGCTGTACTGCGTCCAGAGTCCAGTGCCATCTCAGGTTGATACTGCCACACCTCCAGACAATTCACTATTCATCTTCATTTAGCCAGGATAGTCCACTCAGCAACAAACACAACATACAATAAGCATAAAGTAAATAACATGGCTAGGTCCCAGCACTATTTTGCTTAGCCTTCACCTCAGGTCCTATCAGATACAGTATGTGAATACTAAAGGGTTCAGGGGAAAAGGCAAGGAACCAACATTTAGGAACCAGATGTTCACAAAATGTCCAGGTTTTCATGAGCACACAAAAAGGTTTCTCAACTGCTTGTTTAGCCTAATGCAAAGGTTAATCTAAAATAAATAAAAAGTTGAATAAAAAATAATAATATGTAAATCTCTTCGGCTTTGTAGGCCATCAACATACGGGGCCATTTCCCAACCCCAAAAGCTGAGGAGCATTGCCCAGAAAATCCTGCTACAGATTAACTGCAAACTGGGGGGAGAATTGTGGACCGTGAACGTCCCTCTGGTTAGTGTTATATTCTTCTCTACTGGTAAGGTTTTGGCTGACATTGACTGTTCTAAGTTTGGGTGTAGGGATGCATTGTGTCCACCAGATGGAGACAGTGGGTTGATGGATCCAGAGATCCGAATTAAAGCTTTGCATGACATAAAGCGGGAAAGGGGATATCTACTCAGTTGCACAACTGAATGCATTCAAACGAAATGTATCTTCCGCAATCAACATAAAGAGAGCTTATCAGGATTTCAAGTCACAAATACCTTATTTTGTAGTGTACAACAACAACAAAAACATTTACCCATAAAGTGACACATGCGAATGGGATGATATTAAACAAGTAGAGTTTAATACAGCAAAATGACATTTTCAGTATGCAGTCTGAATATGTAAGGGGTTTTGTTTTGTTATTTTAGTCAAGTCAGTTATTTTAATTGTGTTATTTTATTTTGTTGTATTTTACCCCCTTTTTCGTGATATCCAATTGCGATCCAATTACGATCTTGTCTCATCGCTGCAACTCCCCAACGGGCTCGGGAGAGGCATGACCCGCCAAACCGCGCTTCTTAACACCCGCCCGCTTAATCCGGAAGCCAGCCGCACCAATGTGTCGGAGGAAACACCGTTCAACTGACGACCAAAGTCAGCCTGCAGGCGCCCGGCCCGCCACAAGGAGTCGCTAAAGCGCGATGAGCCAAGTAAACCCCCCCCCGGCCAAACCCTCCCCTAACCCGGACAACGCTGGGCCAATTGTGCGCCGCCCTATGGGACTCCCGGTCACGGCCGGTTGTGACACAGCCTGGGATCGAACCCAGGTCTGTAGTGACGCCTCAAGCACTGCGATGCAGTGCCTTAGACTGCTGCACTACTCGGGAGGCCGTAGTCAGCTATTTTAAAATGTACCTGCCACTCAACAGTTCTGGTAAAGGTGGGGCGGCTCATGTTATCCTTTGGAAGAGTGATGTGACCAGGATGACTTTGCCATCAGGCAGCAAGCTACAGGTTGCAGTCAGAGCACACTGTTTTGGCACAGTCGTGACTGGAAGCAGAGGAAGAAGACTGGGGGGCTCTGATTTGAATAATATTGCTGGAAGTTAAATGAGGGTTGACAATAGCATTATAGATGAGCAGGAGAGGCTTGCTGGGCACAAACGTGTTTCACATGATGACCGTTAGTTGCCTATTGCTATTGTCGATTTTTTTGTTGTTATAGTGTAGTATTTTTAGCATCCGTCTTTGCTCTACATTTAAACAGAAACGTCTGATGATGATGGTTGGAGTGGACGTGCATCACGACACCAGCAAGAAGAACAGATCAGTCATGGGCTTTGTCGCCAGCCTAAACAGGTTAAAAAAACATGCCCCCTAAAAGATACAGCCACATACTAGAGTAACATATCAGTCAATAGTCCTATTCGGACTAGGGTTGAATAATTTCCCGGTATTTTACAAATGTTCCATCCCAAGAATAAATCCCTCTTATCCCGGGTAACCCTGTATTTCCCCCAAAAATCGGAAGTGTCATTCTAAAGCATATGAATATGTCTGGATTTGATTAGAACTTTGATCAGCATGAAAATTCAAGCCTGATGCTGTCTGAGCCAGATGAGCACTACATTAAAGGGATACTTCGGGACTAGCATGTTACTAGATACCCATAGACTTCCAGTCATTGCGTTAACGCTAGTTAGCATTGGCTTGCGAAAGTACCTTTAACTTCCTTCATTCTGGACACAGAGACATAAAAATGGTATCCACGAGATCATCTGACTCAAGGGGAAGTATCCCGTTAAATATTTTTATGAGCCCTACATTAGTCATTTTATGAGCCCAAGCCCAAATAAAGCCCAAATGATTGTGCCGTTATCCAAAACATGATAGGCTATAGGACCCCGGGAAGAGTAGCTGCAAATACAGTGGGGAGAACAAGTATTTGATACACTGACGATTTTGCAGGTTTTCCTACTTACAAAGCATGTAGAGGTCTGTCATTTTTATAATAGGTACACTTCAACTGTGAGAGATGGAATCTAAAACAAAAATCCAGAAAATCACATTGTATGATTTTTAAGTAATTGATTTTCATTTTATTGTTTCGGCCCTCCAGGACCGGAATTGAAGAACCCTGGTATAGGGAATAGCGTGCCATTTGGGATACATCCTATGACATTTCCACCTATTCTTCCCCTCCTCTAGCATGCTGACCAGGTGGTACTCCAGAGTGACCTTTCAGATGCCCAACGAGGAGGTCATCAATGGGTTCAGGGTGTGCCTGCTGGCTGCACTGCAGATAATTTTTTATTTTTTTACAAAGCTTACTAAAGGCCTTTCAGCCTGGAAAAATGATAAAAATGTTTTGTTCAAAACCAGTTACAGTTAAAAAATAAAGTTTTTACTGGCAGTGGGCTACACTGCTTTTTGTAGCTTCCATCAGTGTAATTGTCTGCATCACTTCCAATCCCCCATATATTTTTTAGCAAATACAGTACCAGTCAAAAGTTTGGACACAGCTACTCATTCCAGGGTTTTTCTTTATTTTTACAATTTTTTACATTGTAGAATAATAGTGAAGTCATCAAATAGACCTTACACAGCCTGGAGGTGTGTTGGGTCATTGTCCTGTTGAAAAACAGATGATTCTCCCACTAAGCCCAAACCAGATGGGATGGCGTATCACTGCAGAATGCAATGTAAAAAATTGTAGGTGTGTCCAAACCTTTGACTGGTACTGTACATAAATACATACACACATATGCATACACATATAAATACATTCATACATATTCACATATCCTTTAAAAAATATATTTTTTCCTTTATTACTTTCTAACCCCTCCCTTAATTGGAGTAAACTAGTGAACAACAACGCTTAGGCCTCTACTTCCAGCTTATACAGTGGGGGAAAAAAGTATTTAGTCAGCCACCAATTGTGCAAGTTCTCCCACTTAAAAAGATGAGAGAGGCCTGTAATTTTCATCATAGGTACACGTCAACTATGACAGACAAAATGAGAAAAATAATTCCAGAAAATCACATTGTAGGATTTTTAATGAATTTATTTGCAAATTATGGTGGAAAATTAGTATTTGGTCAATAACAAAAGTTTCTCAATACTTTGTTATATACCCTTTGTTGGCAATGACACAGGTCAAATGTTTTCTGTAAGTCTTCACAAGGTTTTCACACACTGTTGCTGGTATTTTGGCCCATTCCTCCATGCAGATCTCCTCTAGAGCAGTGATGTTTTGGGGCTGTCGCTGGGCAACACGGACTTTCAACTCCCTCCAAAGATTTTCTATGGGGTTGAGATCTGGAGACTGGCTAGGCCACTCCAGGACCTTGAAATGCTTCTTACGAAGCCACTCCTTCGTTGCCCGGGCAGTGTGTTTGGGATCATTGTCATGCTGAAATACCCAGCCACGTTTCATCTTCAATGCCCTTGCTGATGGAAGGAGGTTTTCACTCAAAATCTCACGATACATGGCCCCATTCATTCTTTCCTTTACACGGATCAGTCGTCCTGATCCCTTTGCAGAAAAACAGCCCCAAAGAATGATGTTTCCACACCCATGCTTCACAGTAGGTATGGTGTTCTTTGGATGCAACTCAGCATTCTTTGTCCTCCAAACACGACGAGTTGAGTTTTTACCAAAAAGTTCTATTTTGGTTTCATCTGACCATATGACATTCTCCCAATCCTCTTCTGGATCATCCAAATGCACTCTAGCAAACTTCAGACGGGCCTGGACATGTACTGGCTTAAGCAGGGGGACACATCTGGCACTGCAGGATTTGAGTCCCTGGTGGCGTAGTGTGTTACTGATGGTAGGCTTTGTTACTTTGGTCCCAGCTCTCTGCAGGTCATTCACTAGGTCCCCCTGTGTGGTTCTGGGATTTTTGCTCACCGTTCTTGTGATCATTTTGACCCCACGGGGTGAGATCTTGCGTGGAGCCCCAGATCGAGGGAGATTATCAGTGGTCTTGTATGTCTTCCATTTCCTAATAATTGCTCCCACAGTTGATTTCTTCAAACCAAGCTGCTTACCTATTGCAGATTCAGTCTTCCCAGCCTGGTGCAGGTCTACAATTTTGTTTCTGGTGTCCTTTGACAGCTCTTTGGTCTTGGCCATAGTGGAGTTTGGAGTGTGACTGTTTGAGGTTGTGGACAGGTGTCTTTTATACTGATAACAAGTTCAAACAGGTGCCATTAATACAGGTAACGAGTGGAGGACAGAGGAGCCTCTTAAAGAAGAAGTTACAGGTCTGTGAGAGCCAGATATCTTGCTTGTTTGTAGGTGACCAAATACTTATTTTCCACCATAACTTGCAAATAAATTCATTAAAAATCCTACAATGTGATTTTCTGGATTTTTTTTCTCAATTTGTCTGTCATAGTTGACGTGTATCTATGATGAAAATTACAGGCCTCTCTCATCTTTTTAAGTGGGAGAACTTGCACAATTGGTGGCTGACTAAATACTTTTTTCCCCCACTGTATATACACTTGTTCTGAAAGGCCCCAGAGTCTGCAACACCACTAAGCAAGGGGCACCACCAATCAAGCAGCACCATGAAGACCAAGGAGCTCTCCAAACAGGTCAGGGACAAAGTTGTGGAGAAGTACAGATCAGGGTTGGGTTATAAAAAAATATCTGAAACTTTGAACATCCCACGGAGCACCATTCAATCCATTATTAAAAAATGGAAAGAATATGACACCACAACAAACCTGCCAAGAGAGGGCCGCCCACCAAAATGCACGGACCAGGCAAGGAGGGCATTAATCAGAGAGCCAACAAAGAGACCAAAGATAACCCTGAAGGAGCTGCAAAGCTCCACAGTGGAGATTGGACTATCTGTCCATAGGACCACTTTAAGCCGTAAACTCCACAGAGTGGCCAGAAAAAAACCATTGCTTAAAGAAAAAAATAAGTAAACACCTTTGGTGTTCGCCAAAATCCATGTGGGAGACTCCCCAAACATATGGAAGAAGGTACTCTGGTCAGATGAGACACTATGTCTGGCGCGAACCCAACACCTCTCATCACCCCGAGAACACCATCCCCACAGTGAAGCATGGTGGTGGCAGCATCATGCTGTGGGGATGTTTTTCATCGGCAGGGACTGGAAAACTGGTCAGAATTGAAGGAATGATGGATGGCGCTAAATACAGGGAAATTCTTGAGGGAAACCTGTTTCAGTCTTCCAGAGATTTGAGACTGGGACGGAGGTTCACCTTCCAGCAGGACAATGACCCTAAGCATACTGCTAAAGCAACACTTGAGTGGTTTAAGGAGAAACATGTAAATGTCTTGGAATGGCCTAGTCAAAGCCCAGACCTCAATCCAATTGAGAATATGTGGTATGACTTAAAGATTGCTGTACACCAGCGGAACCCATCCATCTTGAAGGAGCTGGAGCAGTTTTGCCTTGAAGAATGGGCAAAAATCCCAGTGGCTAAATGTGCCATGCTTATAGAGACATACCCCAAGAGACTTGCAGCTGTAATTGCTGCAAAAGGTGGCTCTACAAAGTATTGACTGTTATGCACGCTCAAGTCTTCTGTTTTTTTGTCTTATTTCTTGTTTGTTTCACACAAAAAAATATTTTGCATCTTCAAAGTGGTAGGCATGTTGTGTAAATCAAATGATACAACCCCCCCAAAAAATTTATTTTAATTCCAGTTTGTAAGGCAACAAAATAGGAAAAATGCCAAGGGGGGTGAATACTTTCACAAGCCACTGTATATTGTCCCTAACATCCTTACCCCATTGCAACAGATGTGGGATACATACAGACACACACATACTCTTACACACTCAACTCCTTTCCCCCACAATCAACCATAAGCTCAGATGCTCAACGGTTGTTACATCCCAGAGCCCAACTCAAGAAAGGACCTGATTTATGAATGCATATACAGTAACAGCTGTTTGAGAAAGCATGCAAGATTGAGATTTGATTAACCAATGTAAAGTCCTAGGTGATGGCGATCAGATCCACCCTCTTCCCCTGAAACACACACACGCTGGTCCCCCGTTGTGACCATTTTCCCCAGCATCTCTGTGCAGTCAGACACAATAATATGCCCCCTCTCTGATTGTCCAAGTGTGACCCCCCTCCCGATGGGTTACTGCAGCCAGTGTTGCCAGCACTGCCACTACCTGGGTGGGGGTACCCCACCGGAATCCCCACCGCTAGGTAAAAGGTTGTCAAGGTTCTCATTAGCAGTTTTGAGAATTTCCTTGTATATTATGCTCTCCCATCAGGGGGTTCTGGCTTTGTAGGACCAACCCTACCAGGCAGGCTCAGAATCTTGAGGGGGCGGTGCTGCTCTGGTAGGTCTCTGACCGCATTTATCTTTCTGTTTTGGCTGCATATAGGCAACTTACAGCAGGCCCATAAAACAGATAGGGACTTGTCTTTGATGTATGGGTCGCTCAGGTGGGTGTCTAGGGTATAGGGTGGGGACTGTTCCATCATGATAGGACAATAAATAAAATACAAATATTTTTAAATGTACATCCCTCATCTGCACAAAATTGAAAGCTCTCTCTCTCACAACCCCTGCTCACAAACACACATTGGTTCTGGGATATGCAACCACTTCCTTTCTCACTCACTTAACGCCACACTTTTCCAAACAAAAAAACACACACCACAACTTCCATCACAACACATCCACACATACCCATATACTGTGCCTTCTATGTCTTCTGTTTGCTGTGTTTTTATGTCCACCATGTTGATTTAGTACTTTTGTGTTCCAATTAGTTATATTTGAAGATGTATTATTTTGCAAGTTATCCTTTCTTCTAATGCCGTCTTATCCATTTATAAAATACTATAAATGGAAAATGCAATACTAATTATTTTACATCATTCCCTATCTTGAAAGGTACAGTGTAGTTGTACTATATTTTATTTAACAATTGTTTTGTTTTATTGCTTTTCTATCTATATATTTTTGCATTATCACAATCCCTACCATGGCTAGTATTGGGTGTTCCATTATTCGACTCCTCTATGAGAACTTTGTAATTTTTAGAATAGCCATGGACTATGTTAAATGTTAGTGAATTTAAATAAATAACCCATAGTCTTATATGATTAATGTTTTTCCAGGTGAACCACAACTTCCCAGAGAAGATTGTGGTGTACCAGGACGGAGTTTCCGGCCAGCTGAACACAGTAGAGCTGTACAAGATCCCTCAGCTGCTCAAATGTTTCTAGACGTTCCCTAACTACGAGCCCAAGCTGGCCTTCATCGTGGTCCAGAAACACATCAGCACCACCCTGTACTCCTGTTCCAGAGACCACTTCGGAACCCTTCCGCCCGTGACTGTCCTGGACCACACCGTCACCAACAGGGAATGGTTCGTCCTGGCTCTGTCATTATGGAGCCCTGTGCTGTTTATCCGCCCCCTTCTGCCCCTCTGACTGTATATCCTCAGTGGAGAAGTGGGCAGAATCAGAATTAGGCTTAGGTCATCAGCATCAGGTTTCTAACACTTCCTCATTTATCAAAATATTAATTTTTCTCTCCCCAGGGTTGACTTCTACTTGATGGCGCATCACATTCGACAGGGCTGTGGCTTGCCCACACACTAGATATCAGTCTACAACACGGCAAACCTCTCCCCAGACCACTTGCAAAGGTAAGGTTAAACATACACTGGATTATGCCACCATAAATCTCTGGTTGCAGTAAGGACCAAATAGTATCCACTAGTTAACATAATACCCCAGTTATTGTTGACTTTATAGGTTGGTGGGTGGCGTGGAATGTGTAGCATGAAAGCCTGTCATTCTTGCAGTATTAACATAATCTAACACTGGGTCTCACTCCAGGCTGACCTTCAAAATGTACCACATGTACTGGTATTGGCTAGGGACTATCCGGGTGCAAGCGCCGTGCAAATACGCCCACAAACTGGCCTACCTGTCAGGCCAGTACCTCCACTCAGAGCAGGCCATCCAGCTGGCAGACAAGCTTTACTTCCTCTGATGTTTGCCTCCTTAGCCTCAGCCCCCCTAGAAGGAGCACACCAGTCTGCACAACAATTAAGAGGTCGCAACCAAGCAAGCCGTAAAGAAGAAGAAAAATTGAAGGAGGGAAAAAATAAATGATGATGAGAAAAGGGGAAGCTTTCAGATTCTGACTTGGATCAGATTTAAAATTGTATGTTCTCATGGTAAGATTAATCATTGTCTGACACAGAACCACCCCCCCCCCCCCCCCCCCCCCCCCCTCCAATCACATGGGGAGATAGTTAAGCCTGTTCCTCTTTAAAAGGTGCTAGTAATCTTCTCTTGAATCAATATATCACACATTTTGTTAGCTGATTAGATAAAATGACTATCATCATTAGCTAATTCATTTAATTAGCTTGTGATAGCCAGTGATACAAGGCTCCTGTTTAGCCGTAATCAGCAAGTTCTCGACCAACCTTTACTTAGCGATACCTTCTTTGTTCTCAGAAGGCACTGGTGTCTAATAAACTTCTGTGTCAAGTTGCATGTGGTATGTTGGAATTGTGAAAATTTAACAATTAGAATCTTTGTCTTCTCTCATTGATCGAGACAGGCGTCATTCAAAGCAACGCTTAATTTCTGAGTCGCGCACATGACGTGGACACATTCACATTTTAGTTATTTAGCAGATGCTCTTATCCAGAGCGACTTACAGGAGTAATTAGGGTTAAGTGCCTTGCTCAGGGGCACAGACAGATTTTTCACCTAGTCGGCCATTATGCTACCTGCTGCCCTGACATGTCTGATCAATGAGATAAGAAATAAGATGGCAGTGTTGGATTACTTCATGGAGCAAAAATGGATTTAATTTAATAACTGAGCATTTTCTGAACTCCAACGTTCCCCCTGTAACTAGCCATGGGAGTTAAGACACCGATGACTTTCGAATTGAGAACGAAGAAAGTATCGCTTTAGCTCTGCCGATGAGGTTCATGTTTACATGGCTAACATTTTGTAAGAGTTAAGAAATATACACTATACACTACCGTTCAAAAGTTTGGGAAAACTTAGAAATGTCCTTGTTTTTGAAAGAAAAGCAATTTTGTTGTCCATTAAAATAACATCAAATTGATCAGAAATACAGTGTAGACATTGTTAATGTTGTAAATGGCTATTGTAGCTGGAAACAGCTGATTTTTAATGGAATATCTACAGAGGCCCATTATCAGCAACCATCAGTCCTGTGTTCCAATGGCACATTGTATTTGCTAATCCAAGTTTATCATTTTAAAAGGCTAATTGATCATTAGAAAACCCTTTTGTAATTATGTTAGCACAGCATCAAACTGTTGTGCTGATTAAAGAAGCAATAAAACTGGCCTTCTTGAGACTAGTTGAGTATCTGGAGCATCAGCAATTGTGGGTTCGATTACAGGCTCAAAATGGCCAGAAACAAATAACTTTCTTCTGAAACTCGTCAGTCTATTCTTGTTCTGGGAAATGAAGGCTATTCCATGCGAGAAATTGCCAAGAAACTGAAGATCTCGGACAACACTGTGTACTACTCCCTTCACAGAACAGCGCAAACTGGCTCTAACCAGAATAGAAAGAGGAGTGGGAGGCCCCGGTGCACAACTGAGCAAGAGGACAAATACATTAGAGTGTCCAGTTTGAGAAACAGACGCCTCACAGGTCCTTAACTGGCAGCTTCATTAAATAGTACCCGCAAAACACCAGTCTCAATGTCAACAGTAAAGAGGCGACTCCGGGATGCTGACCTTCTAGGCAGAGTTGCAAAGAAAAAGCCATATCTTAGACTGGCCAATGAAAAGATTAAGATGGGCAGTCTGAGATATGGCTTTTTCTTTGCAACTCTGCCTAGAAGGTCAGCATCCCGGAGTCGCCTCTTTACTGTTGACGTTGAGACTGGTGTTTTGCGGGTACTATTTAATGAAGCTGCCAGTTGAGGAACTGTGAAGCGTCTGTTTCTCAAACAAAGGTTATTTCTCTCAAATTGTGTACAAATTTGTTTACATCCCTGTTTAGTGAGCATTTCTCCTTTGCCAAGATAATCCACCTGACAGGTGTGGCATATCAAGAAGCTGATTAAACAGCATGATCATTACACAGGTGCACCTTGTGCTGGGGACAATAAAAGCCCACTCTAAAACGTTTTGTCACACAACACATTGTTACAGATGTCTCAAGTTGAGCGAGCGTGCAATTGGCACGCTGACTGCAGAAATGTCTACCCAAGCTGTGTCAAGAGAATGTAATGTTAATTTCTCTACCATAAGCCGCCTCAGTCATTTTAGAGAATTTGGCAGTACGTCCCAACTGGCCTCAAAACCACATGTAACCATGCCAGCCCAGGACCTCCACATCTGGCTTCTTCACCTGCGGGATCGTCTGAGACCAGCCACCCGGACAGCTGAAGAAACTGAGAAGTATTTCTGTCTGTAATAAAGCCCTTTTGTGGGGAAAACATTTTTTTGATTGGCTGGGCCTGGCTCCCCAGTCAGTAGGCCTATGCCCTCCCAGTTTTGGCAAGTCGCTTAGGACATCTACTTTGTGCATGACACAAGTAATTTTTCCAACAATTGTTCACAGACAGATTATTTCACTTATAATTCACTGTATCACAATTCCAGTGGGTCAGAAGTTTACATGCACTAAGTTGACAGTGCCTTTAAACAGCTCTGAAAATTCCAGAAAATGATGTCATGGCTTTAGAAGCTTCTGATAGGCTAATTGACATCATTTGAGTCAATTGGAGGTGTACCTGACTCAGTCGAACCAGCTCTGTCAGGAGGAATGGGCCAAAATTCACCCAACTTATTGTGGGAAGCTTGTGGAAGGCTACCCAAAACGTTTGACCCAAGTTAAACAATTTAAAGGCAATGCTACCAAATACTAATTGAGTGTATGTAAACTTCTGACCCACTGGGAATGTGATGAAATAATTTATTTCTACTATTATTCTGACATTTCACATTCTTAAAATAAAGTGGGGATCCTAACTGACCTAAGATAGAGAATCTTTACTAGGATTAAATGTCAGGAATTGTGAAAAACTGAGTTTAAATGTATTTGGCTAAGGTGTATGTAAACTTCCGACTTCAACTGTATATTTCATTTTGACTGACTTCCTTATATGAACTGTAACTCAGTAAAATCATTAAAATTGTTGCATGTTGCGTTTTATACAGCTCTGACATGCACTTACCCCACCAGACATGCCACCAGGGGTCTTTTCACAGTCCCCAAATCCAGAACAAATTCAAGAAAGCATTGTATGGAACTCCCTTCCATCTCATATTGCGCAAATGAACAGAAAACCTGGTTTCAAAAAACACAAAGCAACACCTCACGGCACAACGCCATGGTTTCCATGTGTTTGATGCCATTCCGTTTGCGCCGTTCCAGCCATTATTATGAGCCAACCTCCCCTCAGCAGCCTCCACTGACCTAGATAGTTTTTGTATGTATTGATATGTAGGCTACGTGTGCCATTTTAAAGTTGATGTAGTTATGTCCTTGAGCTGTTCTTGTCTATTAATGTTCTGTATTATGTCATGTTTCATGTTTTGTGTGGACCCCAGGAAGAGTAGCTGCTGCTTTCGCAACAGCTAATGGGGATTCTAATAAAATACCCCTAAAATATTATTTTTCTGTATATTTTTGTTATGTGAAGTGATATAGGTGTGACATTTAAGTCTGTCTTAATTTAACACCAACCATAGTCGTTTTTATTTGTGTTCTGTTTTGTTGCTCCAGATACAAAACTGGTGTGGATGGGAAAAGTTCTTAACCTGTTAAGCTTTTTTCCCAGAAAGTTTGTGGGGCCATTCCCAAATGTGCTGCATGTACAAGTGATCAAAAAGCTTTCCACTTAATTGTACTGATAGTCCATTAGCTGTGATGTCCCTTCTCTGTAGTCGTGTAGGCACAGGCATGGGGTATATTCATTACCTCTTGCAACGGAAACCGTTTAAGGACCAAACGGAACAAAACTGAGAGGGACCTACCTAAATATGTCCAATATAAACTATTTTCTTTGCAAAATGTTTTCCGTTTGGAGTAAACGGTTTGTTGCTAAACATTTTGCAACAGACAAAGGTTGCGCAACAATCGGCATAATGAATACACCATTAACCATTTAAAGATGCACTATGCAGAAATCGCGCCGGCATTTCCTGGTTCCTAAAATTCAAACACCTCGATCACACCGACAGCGTCATTGCATTTTGGTACACCAGAAGTATACTGAACAAACATGCAACAATTTCAAAGATTTTAATGAGCTACAGTTCACATAAGGAAATCAGTCAATTGAAATAAATAAATTAAGCCCTAATCTATGGATTTCACATGACTGGGAGTACAGATATGCATCTGTTGGTCACAGATGCCTTTTTAAAAAAGGTAGAAAACCAGTCAGTACAGTGAGGGGGAAAAAGTATTTGATCCGTACACAGATACCGTGACGAGATCCTGAGGCCTATTGTCGTGCCATTTATCTGCCGCCATCACCTCATGTTTCAGCATGATAATGCATGGCCCCATGTCGCAAGGATTCTCTGAAACAACGTTTGAGGCGGCTTATGGTAGAGGAATGAACATTCAGTTCTGGCAACAGCTCTGGTGGACATTCCTGCAGTCAGAATGCCAATTGCATGTTCCCTCAAAACTTGAGACATCTGTGGCATTGTGTTGTGTGACAAAACGTAATTTTAGAATGGCCTTTTATTATCCCTAGCACAAGTTCCACCTGTGTAATGATCATGCTGTTTAATCAGCTTCTTGATAAACCACACCTGTCAGGTGGATGGATTATCTTGGCTAAGGATAAACGGTTACTAACAGGGATGTAAACAAATTTGTGCACAACATTTGAGAGAAATAATAAATAATTTCTGGGATTTTATTTCAGCTCAAGAAACATGGGACCAACACTTTACATGTTGCGTTTATATTTTTGTTCAGTGTACACACATTCATTATTAATGGAATGCTGCGTTTGCCTTGCAGCATTGCATTGCAGAGGCAGTTGCAGTGCGTTCTGCATATGTTGGATTTATCGAAGGTATGCATCAAACTATGCGTAGATGGCTTGACAGAAATGGTAGCAGAAGGTGAATGTTGAACTTTTGTTGCACACATATCCAGATGATGCTGCATACCATTTTGCGCAATGATGCTGACGGTGTGAGAGGCGTGATAGTTTCGCTAATTTCAGTTTGTGACAAAACAGTGGTGTAGAGAATCATTGTACCATCTAAAACCACTGAAATAGCTTTTCCATAAACAAATATAGTATTTTCAGCTGTTTGAAGCTGGTGTACAAAACCAAAAGTAAAAGAAGCAAAAATTGAACTTAAGAACAGGAAGCATAGAAATAGCGCACATAGAACAGAATGCTTCTTAGACTTGCGTTCAATGAGAATGACAGATCTATAAGTCATATTTCTGTGAATTGTCGGGTCGCCCCAAAAGTTACATATTGCAGCTTTAAGAAGCAACGGGAGAGGTACCCTCCCGAATTTGTCTAATAGTAACTTGTTTGCGTTTTCTGAAGTAATGATTACACCCTTTAAATCAACCAGCCAAGTTTTTGCCATAATGCCAAAAGGTTCTTGCTTGGTAGGTTACAGCCAGAACATGAGTCTAACACTGTCAGATAATACACAAGTGCTAGATCAATAAAGCTAGAGGAGAAAAGCTGTCATTGCAAAACCGGAAGCTTCTTCTTCTTCTTCTGTGGGTTTTATGGCGGACTACATCCAAAAGTTGTATTGCCGCCACCAACTAGACGTAAAAAAATAATAAAAAAATGCCATACTTAATAGTGATTCTAACAATCCACCCTAATAAAAATAGTACATTGCCAAAACAAACAAAATTCCCACTTCTTCCTTCTTTTAGTTCTCCATATCTCCCTTCTCAGGCTCTAGGACCTGAGAAGGTGGTACGGCTTTTGCTAATATTCCATGTAACTCCTTTGCTGTGAAATCTTTCAGCCCCAGGAACCGCTCTGCCGCAATCCCAATGATTTCAATCTTCCTAGATCTTTTCTCCACCTTGGCAGTGCCATTGATCCCCATTGTGATAAAGGCCACAAAGTCCACCTTTTTAACCTTTAAAATGTCAGGATCCTTTGTGTAAGACAACCCCTGCAGCCTGCAGTGAAGGCCTATCCACTACCATGGACTCTTCTGGTGCAACATTCAACCCCTCAACCCTTTTCACAGTTTCTGCATTTGAAATGCTCTGTACAACCCTGACTTTGGCCACCTCATTCCCTTTTACCCTTGTGGGGCATTCAGAAGACGTGGCTTCATGATTCCCACCGCAATTACAACATGTCACATTTTCTTCACTTTTATAACACATAATATGATATTTTCCACATCTTGTACATCTCGGCTTCTCCCTTCAACAAACACTTTATACATAACTAAAAGCTCAAAACAAGCCCGCCTCTGGTGATCCTCACATCCTTCACTTTCCCCAGCACTCTCTCCACCAGTTTGGATAACTCAAATGGTTTCTTCAAGATTGGTTATTCTCCTGAGTGGCGCAGTGGTCTAAGGCACTGCATCGCAGTGCTAACTGTGCCACTAGAGATCCTGGTTCGAATCCAGGCTCTGTCGCAGCCGGCCGCGACCGGGAGACTCATGGGCGGCGCACAATTGGCCCAGCGTCGTCCAGGGTAGGGGAGGGAATGGCCGGCAGGGATGTAGCTCAGTTGATAGAGCATGGCGTTTGCAACGCCAGGGTTGTGGGTTCGATTCCCACGGGGGGCCAGTATAAAAAAAATATGTATTCACTAACTGTAAGTCGCTCTGGATAAGAGCGTCTGCTAAATGACTAAAATGTAAATGTTATCTGCTCAGCTGCTCCTTATTAACAAACCGTACTCCTACTAGATAAGAAGGGTCATTCTCATCACTGTACCCTACTTTGCTCCGTTTTCCATTATTTTGAACAATACTCTAATTCTCCTTGATTCTACCACCATTGTATTCAGATTCCACTTCATCATCCGCTTCCGTGAAGCTGTTTGTTTCCCTTCCACCATCGTTCCCCCCCGTCTCTCGCCAACCCACTCTGACGGTCCTTCCCAACCAGAAGGACCAATGAGCCTTTCACAGAAATGTGAATGGGCTGTTTTTGTTGCAAGTGTAACAGTGTTGCTTCCGTCCCTCTCCTCGCCCCTACCTGGGCTTGAACCAGGGACCCTCTGCACACATCGACAACAGTCACCCTCGAAGCACCGTTACCCGTCGCTCCACAAAAGCGGCGGCCCTTGCAGAGCAAGGGAAACAACTACTTCAAGGTCTCAGAGCGAGTGACATTACCGATTGAAACGCTACTAGTGCGCACCGCTAACTAGCTAGCCATTTCACACCGGTTACACAAGACTTGAGCACAGATCTTCCATCATACTTGAGCACTGTCTTCAAAAATGGGAGGGGAGGTAACATCAAGTGGGACTGTTCTTGCCAATGAGAGGGCATATCGCGTGTGTACTACCACAACGTTAGGACACGTGACATCCTGGCAACTTGAGAAAAAAGGGGTGATTGTAGTCTAATAGGGTGAGAAAAAACACTTTACATTTGAGTTGTGCCTCTTAGTGTTAACCTGGGTCATTGGGCCGTCGACAAGTTGAAAGATAAAAAGGGTTAGGGTAGGGATGCCCCAAGGATCTCAGATAGCACTAAGAGGCACAACTCAAATATAATGTTTTTTTTCTCAAAGTTGCCAAGATGTCACTTCTCCTACTTATATTACACTCGTAACACCCGAACGCATTACAAAACGTATATTCAATCAAATAAGCCATTACATTTTTTGTTGACCAAATTCGACACTCATTGACCTCCATACAAAACACCGTCCTCGCTTCGTGAGCAAAAGAAAAACGCCACCTGCTGGAGAAGACAGATTTTGGGCTGAGTTATCATTCTCGCTTCGCCTCTTCCTCTCTGACTTGAGAGCTGCTGCGAAAATGGCGGTGTCTCGTCGCTCATCGCAGCAACAACAACAGGGCAACCTGCAATCTCCGCCACGAAACGGTTCTCTTTCGGTAAGTCCGCCGGGCTCTCCGCCGCTTGATCTTATGACAGCGACGTTCGTGCCTCCGGATGGTGAGCGTGGATGCAGCACAGGCATGGAGAATCCTTCGGCCTCCCCGGATCTTCCAGTCCCGGCCCTCAGCAGTGGGAGCAGCACAAGCCCGACCACAACAACCTCCGGCGGGGGGAGTAGTAGTGTTTCGAGCCCTGGTTCAGGAGGCACGACCCCTGGCGACGGTAGTAGTGGGATCGGTGGAGCTTTCAGGGAGCTATTTGAGGCCTGTCGGAATGGAGATGTATCCCGGGTGAAGAGACTTGTAGACTCGGTGAATGTGAATGCGAAGGACATGGCCGGACGAAAATCTACCCCTCTGCATTTCGCTGCTGGTTAGTTAAGATAGCGCTAACAAGCTTTGTTTTTGTGTTGTCAGCGCGAGTTGGCAGGTTGAAGTGTTTTCACACATCGCATGGTGCTTGTGAAAAATATCACCATTTTGGTCTGCCACGACGAGAATGGATGGTTAGTTATTAGTTAGCTACTGTACTGTAACTAGTTACGAATGCTCATTTTAATTCGCTACTGTTAGTTAGCTAACTAGTTTGCCAAGATGAAGGCCCATCGAAAACAGCTAGCTTAGTTGGCTAACTAGCTAATGCTAAAAACAGTTTAGCACACACACGGATGGGGACAGAAGGCCTCAGTCTCTCAGCCCTCGTAGTTTTTAGCTACTTGCTAAACGTAAACAAAAATGCACAAATGTGTGTTTTGACGGGTGTTTCTCAAGCTATTCCTTGGCACGATCGAGTTTGGGAAAACCTGTTCAAGAGGAGCTGCTAAAAAGTAACGTTAGTTAGGTTGTTGATATTGTGCGCTGTTAATTTTTTTGTTTTGTTTCATAGAACTGACATTACATTACTGTCACACTGGATGCACTGACCATGTTTTGTCTGTCACTGTGTCAGGTTTTGGCCGGAAGGATGTGGTTGAGCACCTCTTACAGACTGGTGCTAACGTGCACGCCAGAGACGACGGTGGCCTCATCCCCCTGCACAACGCCTGCTCCTTTGGCCACGCGGAGGTGGTCAGTCTACTGCTGTGCCAAGGTGCGGACCCCAACGCACGGGACAACTGGAACTACACACCTCTGCATGAGGCAGCCATCAAGGGCAAGATTGACGTGTGCATCGGTAAGGGTGGATGTGGCAAAAAAAATCGTGTGTCTGACGATATAGGGTGACATGCACATCCTAAACTTGAGAATACCAGTACTTTGCTAAAAAATAATACCGTGATATTGCTGCTCCCAGTGCCTTATTACGGCACCCAAATGTACAATGTTGTGTCTTTCAACACTCTTAAACCCTGGTAATTTGCCCAGGAAAAGTTATGTTGACAATATTCAATCAATCAAATGTATTTATAAAGCCCTTTTTACATCAGCAAATGTCACAAAGTGCTTATACAGAACCCAGACTAAACCCCCAAAGAGCAAATAATGCAGATGTAGAATTGACTTTACTAAGGTGATTTACTATAGGTAGTTAAAATACTGTAAACTCTGCAAGGTATAAGACTATAATTGAATTAAAATAATGAAACTGTTTCCTATGTCTCCTTCACACAGTGCTCCTCCAGCATGGCGCTGATCCCAACATCCGTAATACGGACGGCAAGTCTGCCCTGGATCTGGCAGACCCCTCTGCCAAGGCTGTGCTCACCGGTGAGTTTCATACAACTACTCTCTTTCAGCCAGTTCTCTCCCCCATTACGTTGGGTACGTTCCTATGTTGTATTTTGTATTTTACGTGACTGCAACTATAACGATCTGGGCCCGCTTTTCCAAAAGCATCTTAAGGCTAAGTTAATCTTGGAACCATAGGATCCTATCGTTCTAATGTTTAACTTAGCCATAAGATGCTTTTGGGAAACCGGGCCCAGGACTGTAACCTTTTGTCTGAATCATGGCATGGCTTGTCTTGACTTGGAACTCTGTGCCGTTCTAACCTGATATTTTGTATTCAGGTGAGTATAAGAAAGATGAACTCCTGGAAGCGGCAAGGTGAGTATCTTTATCAACTTGTTTCATTGGAGTGATCTGTTTGTAGTATTAGGCTACCTACCACATCTTTAAACATTTTCTAATACAAAATATTTGATCTTTCTTCTGTTCTCTTATGATCTGTGTGCTACAGGAGTGGCAATGAAGAGAAGCTGATGGCACTATTGACCCCACTAAATGTCAACTGCCATGCCAGTGATGGCCGCAAGGTAATAAAGATATCGCCTACACAACCTTACATGCCCACACTTTATATTAATGTTGTATAATATGTAGCGTATGCTTGATTTGTTCTAAATATTGGCGTGACCAACAGCAAGAAAAGTCTGGAGAGAAACTCTGTTTTCAGCCTACATACCAAAAAAAGTCACTTGTGTGGGGATAAAAAACATCATCTCATCCTAGTCGGATTATTATGTTTGGAACACTATGAAGAGGATTTGTGTCATTGTATTGGATTTAGGCAGGGGACGCTTTAATTTGACTGAACTTGTGCCCAGGCCATATTATATATACAGTGCCTTCGGAAAGTATTCAGACCCCTTGACTTTTTCCACATTTTGTTACGTTACAGCCTTATTCTAAAATCGATTAAATTGTTTTTTTTCTCCTCATCAATCTACATACAATACCCCATCATGACAAAGCAAAAAGAGCTTAGAAATGTTTGCACATTTATTACAAATAAAAAATGGAAATATCACATTTACATAAGTATTCAGACCCTTTCCTCAGTACTTTGTTGAAGCACCTTTGGCAGCGATTACAGCATCGAGTCTTCTTGGGTATGACACTACAAGCTTGGCACACCTGTATTTGGGGAGTTTCTCCCATTCTTCTCTGCAGATCCTCTAAAGCTGTCAGGTTTGATGGGGAGTGTTGCTGCACAGCTATTTTCAGGTCTCTCCAGAGATGTTAGATCGTGTTCAAGTCCGGGCTCTGGCTGGGCCACTCAAGGACATTCAGAAACTTGTCCCGAAGCCACTCCTGCTTTGTCTTGGCTGTGTGCTTAGGATAGTTGTCCTGTTGGAAGGTGAACCTTCGCCCCAGTCTGAGGTCCTGAGCACTCTGGAGCAGGTTTTCATCAAGGATCTCTCTGTACTTTCCTCCCTTCATCTTTCTCTCGATCCTGACTAGTCTCCCAGTCCCTGCCGCTGAAAAACATCCCCACAGCATGATGCTGCCACCACCATGCTTCACCGTAGGGATGGTGCCAGGTTTCCTCCAGACGTGACACTTGGCATTCAGGCCAAAGAGTTCAATCTTGGTTTCGTCAGACCAGAGAATCTTGTTTCTCATGGTCTGAGAGTTCTTTAGGTGCCTTTTGGTAAACTCCAAGCAGGCTGTCATGTGCCTTTTACTGAGGAGTGACTTCTGTCTGGCCACTCTACCATAAAGGCCTGATAGGTGGAGTGGTGCAGAGATGGTTGTCCTTCTGGAAGTTTCTCCCATCTCCACATAGGAACTCTAGAGCTCTGGCAGAGTGACCATCAAGTTCATAGTCACCTCCCTGACCAAGGCCCTTCTCCCTTGATTGCTCAGTTTGGCCGGGCGGCCAGCTCTAGGAAGAGCCTTGGTGGTTCCAAACTTCTTCCATTTAAGAATGATGGAGGCCACGGTGTTCTTGGGGACTTTCAATGCTTTGGTACGGTTCCCCAGATCTGTGCCTCGACACAATCCTGTCTCGGAGCTCTACAGACAATTCCTTCGACCTAATGGCTTGGTTTTTGCTCTGACATGCACTGTCAAATGTGGGACCTTGTATAGACAGGTGTGTGCCTTTCCAAATCATGTCCAATCAATTGAATTTACCACAGGTGGACTCCAATGAAGTTGTAGAAACATCTCAAGGATGATCAATGGAAACAGGATGCACCTGAGCTCAATTTCGAGTCTCATAGCAAAGGCTCTGAATACTTATGTAAATAAGTTATTTCTGTTTATTATTTTTAAAACTGTTTTCGCTTTGTCATTATGGGGTATTCTGTGTAGATTGCTGAGATTTGTATTTATTTAATCCATTTTAGAATAAGGCTGTAACATAACAAAATGTGGAAAAAGTCAAGGGGTCTGAATACTTTCCGAAGGCACTGATTTAACAGCGATATCAACATGGGATTTTTCCGATTTTTGACTTGAAAGATGCCCATCTGTCCAACTATTTTGTCTCCTGTGATCGTAGTCGAAATGTAATCCTTTTTATTGTATATAAACGTATGTTACCCTATTCAACCATTCCCTGTGTGCAGAGGGTTCATTTTGGTACTCCTTCAGTATTGCTCCAAATAGTTTTTTGCAGAGGGATATTCATTGGAAATATTTTCACTTTTATTTTGGTCCCTCAGTTACCTCTAATTCTAGTAGCACTGATCCTCTGTCTTCTGCACATCCAACATTTGCTATAACCAAGTTGTCACCAATATCGATCAACATTTTTGTTTTTGAATAGTTGGTCATGTTTATCACATCCATTAATATTCTATCATGTAGTGCAGAGTTTCCCAACCTTCTCCTCTGGGATTGTTTTGTTTTAACCCTAAACTGGCACACCTGATTCAATTAGTCAAAGGCTTGATGATTAGTTAACTCATTTAATCAGGTGTGGCAGTTTAGGGTTAAAACAAAAATGTGAAATCATGTTGTGCAGTGTTTCCCAACTCCTGTACTCGTACTCCCAAAATAAAAAAAGCCCAAGACAAGCGCTCCTGATTCTACTTGCCAACTAATCATCAAGCCATTGACAAGTTGAGTCAGGTTTTCAAAAATGTGCTGTTGGGGCTACTCAAGGACCGGATTAGGAAACACGGATTGTAGAAATGTTATGGAAATTCCATTTTAGCTTAATGCATTGTGTCTCTAGCACACTGTCACTGGCCACGTTTACATGCACACCAATATCTCATTATTATTCGGGATACTCAAGTATTCTGTTTGAGTTGACGCGTATAAATATCATATCCCGTTTACAATAACCCAAAAAAGCTTGTATCCAGGTTATGAGAAACCCGGATAAATTGCCTGGGATATGCTTATCTTAGACGGGATACTGTGGCATGTAAACATCTTATCCCATTTACTGTTGTTTTTCACAGTCTGCGCAGGCTCAGTTTCACATATCATGGGTGTTGGGTGATGTTTTCATCTCATTGTCAAACAAATCGCTTTAAAATGTAGGCTACCTGCGGAATTCGATCAACCATAATCATTCCATAATTTATTTTGCTGATACTCTGTACTGGACCGTATAGCCTACTGGCTATACAGCCTATACGTTTCTGCTTATAGTTTCTTACATTTGGTAGGCCATTTGTTTGTCAACTATAGTTACATGCAGCTTCTCTTCTGTCAACTTGTTGCCCCAGAAGACTAAATAAAGTAGTGCTCACCAGAATGTCTTACATCGAAAGAATGAATGCGAAAGTAACCTAGTTAACATTGGTTAAGTTGTCTGTTTCGTTTAAGGACCGGGGAGAAAACGCAATGACTCCAAAACAGTGTAAAGATTGGCCCTGAGCTACTATCCGGAATACTCTGCGCACGTAAACATGGTCATTGACTTCCTGTCATGAGTGCGTTGTGGTAATAGGGTGGTTGTTTAGGATTATTTTAATCTTTGCATTGTTATTAGCTGTTGATGAGTTTAGTGTTTGGATCAGAGGGCATTGTGTTTCACCAGAGCACTCCTCTCTCTACTCAGGGCGTCATGACTTGACAATTAACTTCAGTCTGAGGAAAGTGTGTACTTAAAGTCAGAAGGCTCTACTTTGCATTGGTAATTGTGGAATAGTACTGGCTCATTTGTAAATGTAGTTGCCCCTCGTCTTGTTTGGCACCAGTTTTAATTATTCAGTTTTTCACTTCCAGTGCATTCTCATGAGTAGAGAAGTCATCGCCAAAAAGCTAGCATCCATCTCAGAGTTGGCAAGAAACCATATCTTGGTCTCCTTTTCATAATTATGAATAATGCATCATCTAGAGACTATTGGCTAGGATGAGCAGTATTTTTCTAGCATCATAATTCACTCTGGCTAACCAGGTCCCTAAAGTGGATGATTTAAAATCCTACTCATTATTCTTTGACATTTAGGTTTTCCAAGCACATTACCTTGTTCCTAACTGACATTTTAGGAAAGCCTCATTGAAATTTTTTTATAATCATAACAGCGTTTCCTCCTCCATCTGTTTTGTTGGCAGAACACATTTGGGTTTATATGAATGGGCCGTTTGTTAAGAAGACTCTTGGGCACACTGTGGTGACAACAAAGCATTCACTCCCTGCACCTCAGTGTGCCTGTGCCAGTCTGAGGGCTTGTGTGGGTGTAGGATAAGCACTTTGGCTTTTCCTGAGGGATAACCAGGGAGCCTGCCTGCCTTATTAAGAATCCTACAGAGCAACAGTGAGACTAGTCACATTTCCCTAAAGCTGTGTACTCATTGTACCTGGTGTCACTTTGAATTTATATAAATGGATAATGCCGGTGTGTTTCTCATTCATTTTAAAGGGTGATAGGCTAGAAGTATCCTTTTTTGCTGTGAAATAAAAATACTACAATTTTGTAATTTTTTGTTTTGTTTTGTTTTTTGTGTGACTCTGGCAACATTGTCGATCAGTCAACATCCCAAAAAATGCTGGTAAGTTTATCTCGATAACTGCCACCTGATTGTTGCACTGTTGTGATTTGTATTTTTTTCTTTAATCCATGTTTTATTTGACCAATACGCTGGCTCTCACTTGTAATTAATTGCACATCATGGACATGGGTCTACTGGTCACTTTCATATTTCCTACCCCAATGCTCCTGTCCTGTGAATGTGTGTGGGGGGGGGGTGTATATGTGTGCCAGACCTGGGTTTAAATAGTAGTTGTTATCTTTCAAATACATTAGCTGTGCTTGATTGAGCTTTCCTGCTGCAACGGTACAGACAGAATAGTCCCTAAAGTGGACTACCAAAACCATGCCTATCTAGCACTTCAGCCAGGCTCAATCACATGCTAAAAGTATTTAAAAGAAAACAGATGGGCGTACCTACTATTTGAACCCAGGTCTGGTGTGTGTGTGTGTGGTGGAGGAGGTGAGTAAGTGGTTCTGAAGCCATGGCCTGCTTCGCTCATTGGATTTGGAGCTCAAATATAGCACATTGCCTGATTTTCCACAGTGCCACCCTCCCCTTTCTGCAGTCCTCTATCTAACTACTTTACACCCTCCCACCTCTGCTAAGTTTCAATCACTTCTTGTTCTTCAATCAATATATTTATTGTAGGCCTGTGACTTTTCAGTTTTGATCAAATGCGCATGTCTGGAAGCCTGCACCTTACATTTTGTCAGTTTATTCTTGTACTATATTGTATGTATTTGTTTGTGATTTTTGACACTGTCCGCTTGTCACTTCGACTAGTCTTGAATGGGTAGTGTTCCTTGGATTAAGAAAAATCAATAATTTCTCATCTTTAAGTGCTGTGCTGACGTCGCTGCTCATGCTTTTTGAATTATTTGATTTTTTTCCTTGTGATTTGCCTTCATCAAACATGAATGATATTGTTGGTCTGTCCTGTCTGAGTTGTTCAGTGGTCTTATTCTGTCTTGATACCTACCAGTGCATGAATGCTACTTTTTCTTCCTTTCTGTCTGTGAGGTAAACTGTTGCTAAACTCCTGGGTGGAAAACTATTCCACAGCTTTGCGTACACTAACATTATTATGCTTGGCTCACATAGGCACCATGTGATTTGGAATGGCCATACAGACCGACACAACATTTGTTATGAATACACAGTAGATTCAATCCTTCCTTAGCCAGCTTTTTAGCATCCTGTATATTATGTTTTGGAAGGAAGGGGTTGAGGGACAAGTCAGATTTCCCTTTTCTCCTTTTCATAACTTGTTTGAGGTAAGCTAGCATCAGTGTGCGACATAAGAAGTATCTTTTAAGATGGATGATCTGAGAGTTCTGTCAGACTTGCATAGACAGGGCGGTTGAGAATAGGTTGATTGTTTTGGGGTGTAATACACGAACCATTTTGAGCTTGCATCCTTCCACCATTCAACTGCATTGAAAACTCACAGACCGTTCGTCAATACAATTTGCTTCCTAGCATAATCAGCCATTCACCCACTCTGGCTCTCTGAAGGCAGTGTGTTCTGATGTGTATTGACTCTGAGCTCTGTGTGTCTAATGACATGTCCTCTCTTCCAGTCCACCCCACTGCACTTGGCGGCTGGCTACAACAGAGTCCGCATCGTCCAGCTACTGCTGCAGCACAGGGCAGACGTCCATGCCAAGGACAAAGGGTAAGACCAAACTCAATACAAAACTTTAGTTGTATTTGTACAGCCCCATTTGAAGGCCTGTTTTCCTCCACTGTTTCTTGGTCTAAGAACATTCTCAGCTGAGAAACGTCTCAACCACAGATTCATAGAATAAAATAACTGTTCATTTTAATGACTATCTCTCTGGCAGTGGCCTGGTCCCTCTCCACAACGCCTGCTCCTATGGACACTTTGAGGTCACAGAGCTTCTGCTCAAGGTAAGGGCTCTAAAAGATTCTAGTTCACTTTTACAAAATGGATTTCTGTAGACCCGTCATTGATGCCCCACTTTAATTAGCCAATTTTAGAATGTTGGTTTTATTGATGGAGAATAATTGATCAACTCTCCTGTCTGTCTACAGCATGGAGCGTGTGTAAATGCCATGGACCTGTGGCAGTTCACTCCTCTCCACGAGGCTGCATCTAAGAACCGTGTGGAGGTGTGTTCTTTGCTGCTGAGCCACGGAGCCGACCCCACCCTGCTCAACTGCCACAGCAAGAGCGCCGTGGACATGGCCCCCACCCCCGAACTCAAAGAGAGACTAACCTGTGAGTTCAGTGGGAGACTGGAGAGAACACACGTGCATATACAGTGCATTCGGAAAGAATTCAGACCCCTTCCCTTTTTCCACATTTTGTTACATTACAGCCTTATTCTAAAAATTCTTTTTTTTTTAAATACATCCTCATCAATTTACACACAATACCACATAATGACAAAGCGAAAACGGGTTTGAAGAAATTTTAGCAAATGTATAAAAAAATTAAAACAGAAATACCTTATTTACATAAGTATTCAGACCCTTTGCTATGAAACTCATAATTGAGCTCAGGTGCATCCTGTTTCCATTGATCATCCTTGAGATGTTTCTACAACTTGATTGGAGTCCACCTGTGGTTAGTTCAATTGATTGGACATGATTTGGAAAGGCACACACCTGTCTATATAAGGTCCCACAGTTGACAGTGCATGTCAGAGCAAAAACCAAGCCATGAGTTTGAAGGAATTGTCTGTAGAGCTCCGAGACAGGATTGTGTCGAGGCACAGATCTGGGGAAGGGTACCAAAACATTTCTGAAGCATTGAAAGTCCACAATAACACAGTGGCCTCCATCATTCTTAAATGGGAGAAGTTTGAAACCACCAAAACTCTTCCTAGAGCTTGCCGCCCGGCCAAACTTAGCAATCAAGGGAGAAGGGCCTTGGTCAGGGAGGTGACCAAGAACCCGATGGTCACACTGACAGAGCTTCAGAGTTCCTCTGTGGAGATGGTTGTCCTTCTGGAAGGTTCTCCCATCTCTGCAGCACTCCACCAATCAGGCCTTTATGGTAGAGTGGCCAGACGGAAGCCGCCACTCAGTAAAAGGCACATGACAGCCCGCTTGGAGTTTTCCAAAAGGCACCTAAAGACTCTGACCATGAGAAACAAGATTCTCTGGTCTGATGAAACCAAGATTGAACTCTTTGGCCTGAATGCCAAGCGTCACATCTGGAGGAAACCTGGCACCATCCCTATGCTGAAGCATGGTGGTGGCAGCATCATGCTGTGGGGATGTTTTTCAGCGGCAGGGACTGGGAGACTAGTCAGGATCGAGGGAAAGATGAACGCAGCAACGTACAGAGATCCTTGATGAAAACCTGCTCCAGAGCACTCAGGACGTCAGACTGGGGTGAAGGTTCACCTTCCAACAGGACAACGACCCTATGCACACAGCCAAGACAACGCAGGAGTGGCTTCGGGACAAGTCTCTGAATGTCCTTGAGTGGCCCAGCCAGAGCCCGGACTTGAACCCGATCAAACCTATGGAGAGACCTGAAAATAGCTGTGCAGTGACGCTCCCCATCCAACCTGACAGAGCTTGAGAAGAATGGGAGAAACTCCCCAAATACAGGTGTGCCAAGCTTGTAGCGTCATACCCAAGAAGACTCGAGGCTGCCAAAGGTGCTTCAACAAAGTACTGAGTAAAGGGTCTGAATACTCATTTAAATGTGAAATTTTAGTTCTTTATTTTCTCATAAATTTGCAAACATTTCTACAAACCTGTTTTTGCTTTGTCATTATGGGGTATTGTGTGTAGATTGATGAGGCAAATCAATTTACTTAATCCATTTTAGAATAAGGCTGTAACGTAACAAAATGTGGAAAAAGTCAAAGGGTCTGAATACTTTCGGAATGCACTGTATACATGTGTGCGCACATTTTTATATACATGATAATGAAAAAACACTTGCACACAGACTACTCTCTCAATTCACAAAGACTACAGACCGATGAGAATGTCTGCGTCGGCCCTCGGCTCTTCTCACATTTCAATCTCCCCTTTTCGTTCAATCTCCTTTCTGCCATCCAGATGAGTTTAAAGGTCATTCGCTGCTCCAGGCAGCTCGGGAGGCAGACATGGCCAAGGTGAAGAAGACCCTGGCCCTGGAGATCATCAGCTTCAAACACCCACAGACCAATGAGACCGCCCTGGTGAGGTCATCACTGCTCCTTCTGGCTAATGCTCAATGTCACAGTGACACAGAACGTTACCTCATAATCAACAGCTATGGATGTCTAAAATGGCACCCTATTTCCTATATGAAAAGTTATGGGCCATGATTAAAAGTAGTGCACTATATAGGGAACAGGGTGCCATTTGGGATGCATCCTATGTCACTGTCAGAATCTGTTTGTGTGACACATGACCTAGGATGACCACTATAAACAAGCACAAAACCTGAGAAGGCATTCACACATGCTCCATACAGTGATATAATGGAAGGTGTTGTCCCTCTGTTTCAGCACTGTGCCGTTGCCTCCCCTCACCCCAAACGGAAGCAGGTGACAGAGCTGCTGCTGCGTAAAGGTGCCAACATCAATGACAAGAACAAAGAGTAAGACACCATTACAACGAGGAGACCATGTCAGTGTTTCACATATTGTATAGGAGGCCCCCCCCCCAAAAAAATACTTTAGCATCTATTGGTTTCAGTTAAGAATGTTGGCTTGTTAAACTGCAGAATGAGAATCCTCTGAGGCTGATTCCTGCACAAGGAAAGCAATGCCCCTAAACAATCGCTCTCTCCTTCCTGTCTGTCTGTAGCTTCATGACGGCCCTGCATGTTGCGGCCGAGAGAGCACACAACGACATCCTGGAGGTGCTGCAGAAACATGGAGCCAAGGTACACACTGCAGGCCTCTTCAGTCTAACAAATACCATTTCATTTAGCTTGTCATATCTCTCTCTCTGGCTCGTAGCCTCCATATCTGATAACTTCACAAAAAAAGATTATGAAATAAGTGTATCACATTTAGCTTTGAGTCTGTTGCTGTTTGTGTGACTGACTATTCCCTCTGTCCTTCTCCCTCTGTCCTTCTCCCCCGTCCTTCTCCCTACCCCCCTCCGTCTCCGACCCTCCAGGTGAATGCGGTGGACACCCTGGGGCAGACGGCCCTCCACAGGGCAGCCTTGGCGGGCCACATCCAGACATGCAGGCTGCTGCTGAGCTACGGGGCTGACCCGGCCATCGTCTCCCTGCAGGGCTTCACTGCCTCACAGATGGGCAACGAGGCCGTGCAGCAGATCCTCAATGGTACAGTAGTAGAGCACCTTGGGTTAAATACAAAGATTCTCTTTTATATTCTACTCTCTACATTGGGATTGACAATGGTGCTTGTGTGCATCTAAGATGTTTTATGCATTTTGATGAAAGATTCATTACATACATATGGCCTTTAAATCTAGGCTATGCAGTGATGGTAAGTTAGCAGGATGTATAACAAAGAAACTATCGGTTATGTTGCCCATAAATATTGCACAGTGCTTTGTCAAATTTCACAGTATGTTTTATTTCATGATGTTGGTCCGTTTCCTACAGAAAATGTTCCAACTCGTAACTCTGATGTGGACTACCGGTTTCTGGAAGCCGCCAAGGCTGGAGATTTGGACACTGTGCAGGTAAGCTGATCAGCTACATCATCTCGGGTTCATGAATTCAATCATGTTCCATACATCAACGATGATCTACCTACCACCATGAATCCAAGATGTCTTCCTCTGTCACTTTTGATATTCTGTCTATGTTGTCTCGTCTGTGTTTTGTAGCAACTGTGCACTCCTCAGAACGTGAACTGTCGGGACCTGGAGGGTCGTCACTCCACCCCTCTGCACTTTGCTGCAGGCTACAACCGTGTGGCCGTGGTGGAGTACCTGCTACATCATGGAGCTGACGTACACGCTAAAGACAAAGGGTACGTGTTGTCTTACTAGTCCACCCTACTACCTCTGTCTTTCCTTACTGTCTTTGCAGAGACATTTACTTTTACCTCAGATTGTCAGCAAAAAGGCTTTCACTTTGTGTTGAATACATATCTTTGCATTGGCTTTCATTCTGCATTGAATACATCTTTATCATTGGATTACATTTAGCATTCAATACGTACAATACTTGAAACCTTTAGTCATATAATTACATTATTTATAGGATCTCTGTGCCTTCAGTGGTCTAACTAGTCTGTCTGTCCTGCAGCGGTCTGGTGCCCCTCCACAATGCCTGCTCCTATGGTCACTATGAGGTGGCAGAGCTGCTGGTGAGACACGGGGCGTCGGTGAACGTAGCTGACCTCTGGAAGTTCACCCCTCTCCACGAGGCTGCTGCCAAGGGCAAATACGAGATCTGCAAACTGCTCCTCAAGGTTAGTCTAGCTGTGCCTTTCATATCTTCTGAAATGATGAGGTCCCAATAGCATAATAAGGCTATACTGAGGCATTTCTATAGTCAAAACAGCAAATTATTTATTGTGATAGCTTTTTATAGACTTTGCTCAAAGCACCAACGTGTCTCTGTGTAGCTATGTGTATAGCTAGAAGAGATTTTCAACGACAGAACAAAGTATTTTTTAATGTACATTCATGATGTATTTGTGTGTGTTGCTCCAGCATGGAGCAGACCCCACCAAGAAGAACCGTGACGGTAACATGCCTCTGGACATGGTGAAGGATGGAGACACGGACATCCAGGACCTGCTGAGAGGAGACGCTGCCTTGCTGGATGCTGCTAAGAAGGGCTGTCTGGCCCGTGTCCAGAAACTCTGCAGCCCAGAGAACATCAATTGTAGAGACACACAGGGACGCAACTCCACCCCCCTGCACCTTGCAGGTACTGAACCTACCAGAATCAATTTGTGGAATCAATCAATACATTTTATATTTTTATAAAGCACTTTTTACATCAGCAGTTGTCACAAAGTGCTTTACAATTACCCAGCCTAAACCGCAAAGCAGTGGAATCAATTCATTGAATGGAAAATGTGGAAACCAGACACAGACCTTTACCACTCAAACATAAGTGGATCCCCTTACATAAAAGGATGACAGGCAAATCATCAAACCCTGGACAGTTTGATCATTTGGAGCTATATTATTACTTTGACACATTACAGAAAGATCTTTCATTCAGGTTTTTTTGTACGGTAGACTGCCATGTTGTTTCATGTTGTCATCCGTCTTGTTTCCCACCTCTGTAGCTGGCTACAACAACCTGGAGGTGGCAGAGTATCTCCTGGAGCATGGGGCTGATGTCAACGCACAGGACAAAGGAGGCCTCATCCCCCTGCACAACGCTGCCTCCTACGGGGTGAGTCGGCACAAAGATTACGCCTCGGAAGACATTGTACATGCTGTACGGTTTGGCCTAAGGGTTTATAACATAGACAATGCATACAAAATACCTACGCTGTGACCTTGAGGCCTAAGATATGTAACAGCTTGGATCTAAGGCACTGCATCGCACTGCTAGCTGTGCCACTAGAGATCCTGGTTCGACTCCAGGCTCTGTCGAAGCCGGCCGCGACCGGGAGAACCCATGAGGCGGCGCACAATTGGCCCAGCGTCGTCCAGGGTAGGGGAGGGAATGGCCGACAGGGATGTAGCTCAGTTGGTAGAGCATGGCGTTTGCAACGTGTGGGTTTGATTCCCACGGGGGGCCAGTATAAAAAAAAAATATATATAAAAAAATTCTAATGTATGCACTCACCAACTGTAAGTCGCTCTGGATAAGAGCGTCTGCTAAATGACGTAAATGTAAGACTAAATGACGTAAATGTAGATATTGTTTGGGTTACAAAACCTTATAGAAACCCGTACAGCAAATACAAGGACAAAACACCCACGCTGTGATGAAAGTCACCTTGTGGAAAGCTTAAGAAGATATGGAACAGCGTGGCTGTCATCAGTTTCTGGGCATGTCATGATTCAATCGTGTTACTAATTTAGTCTCTCCTCTCATCTGCTACTTCTATCCTCTGCTCCTCTCCTCAATCGCTCCTCTCCTGTCTTTCCTCTTCTCTCCTACAGCACGTGGACATTGCTGCCCTCCTGATAAAGTTCAACACGTGTGTGAATGCTACAGACAAGTGGGCCTTCACCCCCCTCCATGAGGCGGCTCAGAAGGGCCGGACCCAGCTGTGTGCTCTCCTGCTGGCCCACGGAGCGGACCCCACCATGAAGAATCAGGAGGGACAGACTGCACTGGACCTGGCCACGGTAACACGCCTTGATCTCCTACTGTTAGAGCAGCTAGCAATGCCACAAAATGAAGTGTTGTTTTTTGCTGTTACTGGCAGACATTTGCTTGAATGGTGAAGGTGCATAAAGATAGGAATTCAGATCTGACGCAATCGTTTGCGCACTATCCACAGTTTAACTACGGCGCGCGACATGGTTCAATCTGCCTATAAATCAGAACAATCTACTTTTTTGTTTTTTCTAATTGCCGCCGTCTTGGAGCTAGAATTGGAATCGTGTTTACTGTGCTAATGCCCATACAAAAAGATGAACGATACAGTACGGTGAACTTGGCAAGTTAGGCATTTGTTAGAAGTACATGGGGGCTGCCATCTTTATGCACCATACCGTTCTAAATGCTTACCATTTTTCCCATTTATATATTTTGACACACTTAGCAGAAACTAGAGATTTGGCCAATACTGAAACAGCCTGAAATTCAAACATTTAGACCAACCAGTTCTGACCCATGGTTTCTCCATCTAATTATGTCTTCCTCTCAGGCTGATGACATCCGGGCCCTGCTGATGGATGCCATGCCCCCAGACGCCCTGCCCAGTTGCTTCAAGCCCCAGGCCACAGTGGTCAGCGCCGGCTCGGTCATCTCCCCGGCCTCCACGCCCTCCTGCCTGTCTGCAGCCAGCAGCATCGACAACCTGGCCGGGCCCCTCAATGAGCTGGGAGCCGCAGGGACCTCCGGGGTGGCCGACGGGGCCACGGGCTCTGAGAGGAAGGAGGGAGCATGTAAGTAGCGCTATAGAGCCAGGATCGAAACTGGGGCCGGGGTTTTAGCATGTAGCTGATATATTCTTGTAGATTCAACAGATCTTAACTCCATCACCAGCTTTGACTCACTGGATTTGTATTTGTATTTATTAGGGATCCCTATTAGCTGCTGCCAAGGCAGCAGCTACTCATCCTGGGGTCCAAACACATTAAAGCATGTACATTACATATAAAACAAAAGATAAAACAGAACATCATATAACATTATTACGGCACTACATATCTACAATACAAAATGTATAATGAAGTCTGGTTGAAGACTAAGGGCCATACTGATTCATCTGTATTGACTATCATTTTACTCACATATTGAATTTGCTTTGTATTCCAGTGGCGATGTTGGACATGAACATCAGTCAGTTCTTGAAGAGCTTGGGTCTGGAACATCTGAGGGACATCTTTGAGAGAGAACAGGTGACTGTTTTAATGATAGAGTTTTATGCTATATCATAACTTATTTAACAGGGCATCTAATTAGTCTGACATCTGTCTTTTTCCCCCTCTTGAAGTTGCTGTTGTCATGACACAGTTCAGGATCCCTGCTCTGAATTAAATGTCCTGTTCTCACCCAGATCTCTCTGGATGTTCTGGCTGACATGGGTCACGAGGAGCTGAAGGAGATTGGGATCAACGCCTACGGCCACCGACACAAACTAATCAAGGGAGTAGAGAGGCTGCTGGGAGGACTACAAGGTCTGGACCAATGTTCCCTGACATTTTTTTAGACACTGAGTACATTTCTGGTCTGCTGAGCGCAAACTTGAACGTTGTGAAAATTCTGTGCAACTTCCAGCACGTGTTTACTGTGAACACTGAGGCTGTACCTGCTTTAAGTTACAGTTTTAACAGTGACCAAGTAGGCTACTGTGGCTATTTGATCATATTGTAGGCCTACCAGAGTGGAGAAAAAAAATGCGCCCCGTAACATTTTAACATGGAAATAGCTGTTTTATCATTCAGCCTACAGTAGCAGCCAATGTTTGGTGTTCAATGTAGGCCTACATTCCATGAGACTTTTTAAAAAACATGCGAGGCTTGACATTAACCTGTTTATCCACTTGTCCTTCAGACAAGGAGGTGACTGAAATTGTTGTTTGACGCAAGAAAACAAATAAAATGCATTATTATTCCCATACCATTATTACAGAGAATCAGACAAGTTGTGCTAGCTACCCTCTGCCTATTGGCTACTTAGCTTATTCAAGCCTGTCTCAAAATGCAACACTGCCCCTTTAAGACCAAAAAACGATCGTTACCTGACTTGCTTTTCAAAGTTTAGTGCTCTTTTTTTAGTCCAGCACTAGGCCTAATATACGTCTGGGAAACTGGCCCTGAAAGTATAGGTGGGAAGCCAACCCAATGTGTAACAAAGCATGAGTGCGTAACAGGTTATTTGTTTGTTCTCCAGGTGCCAACCCGTACCTGACATTCCACTGTGCCAACCAGGGCACAGTCCTCATTGACCTTGCCCCTGACGACAAGGAGGGCCAATCAGTGGAGGAGGAGGTGGGTACACCCATACAGAGAGATACACGGAGTGTACAAAACATTAGGAACACCTGCTCTTTCCATGACATAGACTGACCAGGTGAAAGCTATGATTCCTTATTGATGTCACTTGTTAAATCCACTTCAATCAGTGTAGATGAAGGGGAGGAGACCATTAAAGAAAGATTTTTAAGCCTTGCGACATGGATTGTGTATGTGTGCCATTCAGAGGGTGAATGGGCAAGACAAAATATGTAAGTGCCTTTGAACAGTGTATGGTAGTAGGTGCCAGGCACACCAGTTTGTGTCTTGAACTGCAACGCTGCTGGCTTTTTCACGCTCAAAAGTTTCCCATATGTATCAAGAATGGACATCCAGCCAACTTGACACAACTGTTGGAAGAATTGCAGTCAACATGGGCCAGCATCCCTGTGGAATGCTTTTGACTCCTTGTAGAGTCCATGCTCAAATGAATTGAGGCTGTTCTGTTCAATATTAGGAAGGTGTTCCTAATGTTTTGTACACTGGTGTATATTGTATACGCATGTATTATATTTGATTCTGTGAGTTGACCTCATCACACTCTGGTCTGAGTACTGATAAAGAAAACTACAGCATCCTAATGAAGCTGAGTGAAGATTATGTACCAACTGAGTGCCATGTTTAGAGAAATCGAATGAATTCCTGTGATTTTAAGACGTTTCATGTTTATTTTTCTCTCTGCTCCAGATGCAAAGTACCATCCGAGAACACAGGGATGGAGGCAACGCAGGAGGGGTGTTCAGCAGATACAACATCATCAAGGTCAGCTGTACATGATATTACAGTACTACACGCTCTACTCGCTACATTTGCTCATAGGATGGAGCTCATCCTCCATCACATTTATTGGTTGGTAAGAATGCACAATGGCAGGGGTTGGCAACAGGCTGCCCGCAAGTTTTTTAAAATTACATTTCTTTTCTGAATTCATGAGGAATTCAGCAAAAATTAGTTTAATTTAGGAAATCTGTTCCCAAGTATTCTCACGAATAACACGAGACGTGATCCTGTCTTAATGTAATCAAGGTATGAAATGACTTATTTTCAAATAGTGTCTTTTTGAGCTTAGTTGTGATCAGTTTGCAGTGTACAAATTATTATAATTATGTTCCGGCCCCCCGATCATTCGTTTGACAAAAATTGGCATTGGGCTGAATCTAGTTGCCTACCCCTGCACTATGGTTTCAGGAACTCTGGTAGTGTTAATGATTCCATCTTCTGAAAAGGAAGGAAGATTAGAAGTCATTAGTATTGCTGCTGTAGTTTATTCCTGTCTGTGTGTCCATGCAGATTCAGAAGGTGGTCAATAAGAAGCTGCGGGAGCGATACACACACCGCCAGAAGGAGATCTCCGATGAGAACCACAACCACCACAATGAGCGCATGCTCTTCCATGGTAACAAGACATATTCCATATTCATATTACGACCTGTTTTATTTTTTACCACGCTCCTTGTTAATTCAACAACAAAAATTATGTCTTAACTGATTATCACTAGAAAAATGTTAACCGTGTTTGTCATTATTTCTTGTTTTTTACAAATACGAATTTCAGTCGTATTTTACATTTGTTCTTGTTTCATGTCTTTTGGTTCTCCAGGTTCTCCGTTCATAAATGCCATCATCCACAAAGGCTTTGACGAGCGGCATGCGTACATCGGAGGGATGTTTGGAGCAGGGATCTACTTTGCTGAGAACTCCTCTAAGAGTAACCAGTATGTGTATGGCATCGGGGGCGGCACCGGATGCCCCACTCACAAAGACCGCTCCTGTTACCTGTGCCACAGGTGAGACATGATCGATGGAAAGAACACATATTTAGGTGCATTGAGGCTTTACTGCTATTACTCATGAATAGACTGTTGCCAAACTAGTGCCTCTCTCTCAATCAATTAATCTATCAATCAATCATGGCCTTCATCAGAGCTATGATAATTATGAAACCTCATTAGTGAACCATCATTTGACCCCTGTTCTCCGTGACCTACAGGCAGATGTTATTCTGCCGTGTGACCCTGGGGAAGTCCTTCCTCCAGTTCAGTGCCATGAAGATGGCCCACGCCCCCCCTGGACACCACTCTGTGATTGGCCGGCCCAGCGTCAACGGCCTGGCCTACGCAGAGTACGTCATCTACAGAGGGGAGCAGGTGAGACTTAAATTGAATTCTACTTTATTTATCCCCTCAAAGACAAGTCCAGACATTAGGCAATCAGGCAGAAGTTTTTACACGTTAGGGGCCGGTTTCCCGGACACAGATTTAAGCCTAGACCTGGACTAAAGAATCCACAATGGAAAATCTCCTTTGAAATTGCTTTGTAATCCAGTACTTATTATTTGCTCTTCTCATTGACTTCTGTCCCATGTGTGTTGGCAGGCCTACCCAGAGTATCTCATCACCTATCAGATCCTTAAGCCGGAGAGCACAGCCGCGTCTGCTGCAGGAGAGGATCAGAAGACCTAGTCCTGCACCACCAGACCAATCTCACACACACAGTTCCTGAACACAGTCCTCCTGACCCACAACACATGACTGAAGCTTTTTGGTGTTTTTTTCTGTTTTATTGTAATGCCTAAACCTTTTTATTTTCATCACAGACTGAGTTCCAGTTCCATTCTTCTTGTCCAGTACAGTAACCGTAGACTGGGCAGATGACATGAAATATATTGTAATATACTGTAATATACTATGAAATATACTGTAATATATTTAAGCAATAAGGCCCGAGGAGGTGTGGTATATGTCCAATATACCACAGCTAAGGGCTGTTCTTAAGCATGACGCAACGCGGAGTGCCTGGATACAGCCCTTAGCCGTGGTATATTGGCCAAATACCACAAACCCCAGAGATGCCTTATTGCTATTATAAACTGGTTACCAACGTAATTAGAACAGTATAAATATATTTTTTTCATACCCGTGGTATACGATCTGATATACCACGGCTTTCAACCAATCAGGATTCAGGGCTCGAACCACCCAGTTTATAATATTAAATAAACTGTTGTATATTATCTCCTGCTTGTGGTGATAGGCTTTCAGTTTCCTTTGCATTGGCTGCATGTATAGACAGGCGCATGTATGGCAAATATCGGGTGTGGGTTCCCCACTTTCTACCCCTGGAGAGGGGGTTGTAGAGATTCGCCCTCATCTGCCCTGCAGTGGTCAGAATAATTGGCTACCATTCTCACCTAATCATGTCTTGTGACTTGGAGAATCACCTCTTTTCAACGCTGTTGTTCTCAACCAGTCTGTAACCCCTGTAATACTGCCCCCCGCCCAGCCTTCCTTACATACATACATACATACATACATACATACATACATACATACTGTATAGCCATTGAATAGCTGATGATATTTGTGATTTATAATGATACAGATAACACTAGTACCACATGGATTACTCTATTATTAATAGGATTGCTATTCATGGACTCTTCTTGAATGACCTTACTACATGCCTGAGGTATATTCCAGATAAAGCAGGACATCAGGAGAACCATAGTATTAGGAATTATAATTATACGAGGAGAACACACATGATTTAGAAGAGCAGTCATCTACTCGGACATATTATTTGTTGCACAAGAAGTGTGAACTCCACAACCCGGATTGCCATGGTCTTATTCATGGACTTCAAATCCATGCGTAAAGATTTGCACTTTTAAATGGATACTATTTAAGTTATTTGAAATTAATTGCAAATGTAATGGTAAAAAAATGATGTATGTACAGGTTGTGTAAATGGATGTGTATCACAGTTGATGTTTAACATTGTCATTTGGAGTTTTATTGTAAATTAAGTCTAAATTCCTTTCTGGCCTTGATTATGTCTACTTTTTGAATAAACGTTGTCCATGTAAGAGCAGTTTGTATATAGTAAGTATAAGCTGGAAGTAGAGGCCTAAGCATTGTTGTTCACTAGTTTACTCCAATTAGGGAAAGGGTGGTGGGGTTGGAAAGTAATGAAGGGGAATATATTTTTAAAAAATGGTGTGTTTGTGTGTATATATATATACACATATATATATATATATATGTATACATACAGTGAGGGAAAAAAAGTATTTGATCCCCTGCTGATTTTGTACGTTTGCCCACTGACAAAGACATGATCAGTCTATAGTTTTAATGGTAGGTTTATTTGAACAGTGAGAGACAGAATAACAACAACAAAAATACAGAAAAACGCATGTCAAAAATGTTATAAATTGATTTGCATTTTAATGAGGGAAATAAGTATTTGACCCCTCTGCAAAACATGACTTAGTACTTGGTGGCAAAACCCTTGTTGGCAATCACAGAGGTCAGACGTTTCTTGTAGTTGGCCACCAGGTTTGCACACATCTCAGGAGGGATTTTGTTCCACTCCTCTTTGCAGATCTTCTCCAAGTCATTAAGGTTTCGAGGCTGACGTTTGGCAACTCGAACCTTCAGCTCCCTCCACAGATTTTCTATGGGATTAAGGTCTGGAGACTGGCTAGGACACTCCAGGACCTTAATGTGCTTCTTCTTGAGCCACTCCTTTGTTGCCTTGGCCGTGTGTTTTGGGTCATTGTCATGCTGGAATACCCATCCACGACCCATTTTCAATGCCCTGGCTGAGGGAAGGAGGTTCTCACCCAAGATTTGACGGTACATGGCTCCGTCCATCGTCCTTTTGATGCGGTGAAGTTTGTCCTGTCCCCTTAGCAGAAAAACACCCCCAAAGCATAATGTTTCCACCTCCATGTTTGATGGTGGGGATGGTGTTCTTGGGGTCATAGGCAGCATTCCTCCTCCTCCAAACACGGCGAGTTGAGTTGACGCCAAAGAGCTCGATTTTGGTCTCATCTGACCACAACACTTTCACCCAGGTCTCCTCTGAATCATTCAGATGTTCATTGGCAAACTTCAGACGGCCCTGTATATGTGCTTTCTTGAGCAGGGGGACCTTGCGGGCGCTGCAGGATTTCAGTCCTTCACGGCGTAGTGTGTTACCAATAGTTCTTGGTGACTATGGTCCCAGCTGCCTTGAGATCATTGACAAGATCCTCCCGTGTAGTTCTGGGCTGATTCCTCACCGTTCTCATGATCATTGCAACTCCACGAGGTGAGAACTTGCATGGAGCCCCAGGCCGAGAGAGATTGACAGTTATTTTGTGTTTCTTCCATTTGCGAATAATCGCACCAACAGTTGTCACCTTCTCACCAAGCTGCTTGGTGATGGTCTTGTAGTCCATTCAAGCCTTGTGTAGGTCTACAATCTTTTCCATGACATCCTTGGAGAGCTCTTTGGTCTTGGCCATGGTGGAGAGTTTGGAATCTGATTGATTGCGTCTGTGGACAGGTGTCTTTTATACAGGTAACAAACTGAGATTAGGAGCACTCCCTTTAAGAGTGTGCTCCTAATCTCAGCTCGTTACCTGTATAAAAGACACCTGGGAGACAGAAATCTTTCTGATTGAGAGGGGATCAAAAACATATTTCCCTCATTAAAATGCAAATCAATTTATAACATTTTTGACATGCGTTTTTCTTTGTTTTTCTTTTTGTTATTCTGTCTCTCACTGTTCAAATAAACCTACCATTAAAATTATAGACTGATCATTTCTTTGTCAGTGTGCAAACGTACAAAATCAGCAGGGGATCAAATACTTTTTTCCCTCACTGTATATAAAAAACATGGGGGATTGGAAGTGATACAGACAATTACATTGATGGAAGTTACAATCTATCTGCAATATTAAGCTGATCTACCCCCTTTAAAAAAAAAAAAAAGAGCAGTTTGTTGGTCATTTTAATTACATGTTGGCTATGATTATTCATTACAGTTTGTAAGATACAGTATTAAATATGCAATTAGTATAGCCAAACGTTACAAAACGCAGATGTCTAACAATGCAGAAGTTAAACATGATTTAGTAGTAGAGAAAAGTAATTACAGAGCTGATAATGCTTTTAAAAGCACTTAAGTTGAAAGATGTATGAGGCATGGATACCTTGATTTAAAAACAAAAATCCCAACAGCTTGATCCGTTCAACACCTGATTATTAGTTATTACAGCTCCATAGATAAAACAATAAAATAAAAAAGAAGGTAATATACATAAAAAGAAACAAGTCAATGTTTCAAAACTAGAACCATTACTACATAGTAGCTACCGGACTTGAGTTTTCTGCAATGAGCTTTCTGTCTCAGTCGAGTCAAGGTTCAACTTGTATCTGACACTCGGTCACTGTGGCTGGTGAAGGCATAACAATGTCTTGTTGAGTCCCTGCCGCTGGAGTAGGGACTATGGTCAGAGTACTGCCTGGTCTCTAGGATTATGATAGGCTGTACTCCAATAGTTGGAGATACAGGGAACCTGTTTGCATAGCATGGATTCATGGTGAAGGAATTTGTGAAGAAGGGATTCAGGGAATAGGGATTGAAGCAATATTTTTCAAACACAATTCTTAAAGTAAAATCCTTCAAACATACAGCTTACCTCATAGCTCAAACCTCTGGCCTTTCTGACATGCGCTTGATCCTAAATAACAAAACAAGTTTTAAAGGAGACTTGGATACAGATTAATATAAGCTCAGCAAAAAAAGAAACGTCCCTTTTTCAGGACCTTGTCTTTCAAAGATAATTAGTAAAAATCCAAATAACTTCACAGATCTTCATTGTAAAGGGTTTAAACAGTTTCCCATGCTTGTTCAATGAACCATAAACAATTAATGAACATGCACCTGTGGAACGGTCGTTAAGACACTAACAGCTTACAGACGGTAGGCAATTAAGGTCACAGTTATGAAAACTTAGGACACTAAAGAGGCCTTTCTACTGACTCTGAAAAACACCAAAAGAAAGATGCCCAGGGTCCCTGCTCATCTGCGTGAACGTGCCTTAGGCATGCTGCAAGGAGGGTCCATCATGGTCTGGGGCGGTGTGTCACAGCATCATCGGACTGAGCTTGTTGTCATTGCAGGCAATCTCAACGCTGTGCATTACAGGGAAGAAATCCTCCTCCCTCATGTGGTACCCTTCCTGCAGGCTCTTCCTGAAATGACCCTCCAGCATTACAATAACATCAGCCATACTGCTCGTTCTGTGCGTGATTTCCTGCATGACAGGAATGTCAGTGTTCTGCCATGGCCAGCGAAGAGCCCGGCTCTCAATCCCATTGAGCACGTCTGGGACCTGTTGGATCGGAGGGTGAGGGCTAGGGCCATTCCCCCCAGAAATGTCCGGGAACTTGCAGGTGCCTTGGTGGAAGAGTGGGGTAACATCTCACAGCAAGAACTGGCAAATCTGGTGCAGTCCATGAGGAGTAGATGCACTGCAGTACGTAATGGAGCTGGTGGCCAAACCAGATACTCACTGTTACTTTTTTGACCCCCCCTTTGTTCAGGGACACATTATTCAATTTCTGTTAGTCACATGTCTGTGGAACTTGTTCAGTTTATGTCTCAGTTGTTGAATCTTGTTATGTTC